TGTCCAAACTTCACCTGCCCTGTTTGGTTCAGTTAAATGGAACTCAAGTTCATTTGCCCCCTCAGTGCAGTTTGTTTGGGCAGGTGTGAACACAGCAATCACACTCAGGTGTGCAACATAACAACTGTACCAAGACCTTCTTGAAGAGGTGGTCTCAGTCCGGTTACAAACGAACTCTGGTGCAGTTCGTTTGTGGTGAGAACGTGTTCCGACCTGGATCTGAACCAATTGCAGTCACATGACACATTGTTTGGGTTTAACATGAGCATGTTACAGTCCTGGAGGATTATTAATGTGCACCTCCTCCTGTACTGTCTTAATATGCACATTGAGCACATCCAATGCATCAAAACATTGTTTTCTAGTTGGCGCCGCGCCTCGTTTTCAAACTGTATGGTTTGACTAAAATGAACAATGACAGCAATATAGTCCATGATGAGCAGCACTAAAATCAACCTGCTTAGTTGTCTCTCCATTGTGACATTAGAAAGTTTCACATTTATCTTGCAAGTGTGTAGTGCAAGTGTACGATTTGTTTACTTCCTGAATTTTTCAAACGTGGAAATTCTGACCAATCAAGAGCTTTCTCACACAAGGCATTTGATCTGGTCCACTTGTAAATGCTGCCGTGAGAACATGAACCAACTCTAGGCAATTATGCAACTTTGTAACAAAATAAGTCCCAGATTCAGACCAAAGCAAGACAACTCTAGGTCTGAAAGCACCCTGAGAGCGTGTGATTTGTCACTGAGTAGCAGGTGGCACCATGCATGCCAGCCTCGGCCACTAGTGTGTGAATGTGCGTATGAATGGGTGAATGTGACGTGTAAAAGCGCTTTGAGTGGTTGGAAGACTAGAAGGGTGCTATACAAGAGCAGTCCTATCAACATTTGTCCCTGCTTTTTGTTTAGTGGTCAATGGCAAAGGTTAGCATGGTAACACACTAACATGATGACTGAGGTAAACATTACACCTCCAAAACATCAGCATGTTAGCATGCTCACATTTAGCATTCAGCTAGTGTGGTTGACCAGAGACCCACATGTTGTATGGGACAATAACCAGTTCCTGACCATCTGTCCTTAGCCTCATTGCGTGGTTGAACAAAATGTCAAGCTTTGTCAGCAGCTCGCTGCCACAATACAGGCACTGCGTGCTCCCGAACAAGTTCTTCCTGACGTGACAGATGTGGAATGTGATCTTACAAAATAATCTTTGCTGTAGAACAAACAGTACCAACCTGCAGCGAGAGGAATGTGTTGAAGTTAGCTAGTGACATTCTTCCTCTGTGCATGTGGGTGGTTAATTATGGGGTTTATAGAGAGGGAATCCCTCACCCAGTGATCCTGATGGGTTTGTCCGACTATAGCTTAGGTGTTTCCTCAATGACGCACTGTGTACACTGTAGTTATGTCATGGTGTGGTAGTCGGGTGTGAATGGGATTGTATGTTTAAATGTTATGCCCTACTTATCGGTTACTGGTCAGATTGCCATGAAATTTAATGTCAGTATTCACAATCTCCAGAGGATAGACCCTAATTTATTGGTGACACAATGATTTTTCTTCTAGAGCCACAATCAAGCCAGAATTCCCATTTTACATAAGAGAAATCGAGATGTAATTGACAAGGTTTCTGCTCTTTTCAAGACATATTGTGTGGTTTCACCCCTCCTCCTGTACGCTTCTATACATAGGTATAAAGTCTGATTCATCAGCTTAGTATGGAGTGTTACATGACTCTGAAAGCACTGGACTCAGTCATTTCTGAGGACCTGTAAAATGTTTACAAGTCCAGCTATCAAGCTTCTTATCAGACTCAGTTTCTGTGTCAAGACAGAACCACAGTCTAAGGATCAAAGTCAAGGTCAGCATGTCCCTCTGCACGGGGCTGAGGTTTGAACAAAGCTGATGAGAGCTTTAATTTTCTGCCAATGCTTTCTATTTTTATACCCTTTTTAAAAAACCACCCACACATTCAGTGATAGCGACACAATAGATTTCATTCCAGAGAGGACCAGGCTTACTGCACCTTGTTCTTAACACCATATTGTCAATGAAATGTTAATATCCTTTGTTGTGTGGATTATAAAACTGCAAACTGTGATACATTTCCTTCTGCTCATTTTGGTGCTGTAGCTGGAGACATTAATACATCCTTAAAGAACACAATGATAATAATGCTCATGTGGTCTCTCAGCTAAAACACTTCCTATTCTGTTTCTCCATTATCAGCGCTTTTATGCTGAATGACGAGGTGAGTAAACCTGAACTCTACACTTGTGCCCTTGACACTAAACTTCAGAGAGAAAAGACCATACCGAACCTTTTTACTGCAAAACTAGACAAATGTCAGAGTAGAAGTGCTTAAAAACTATTGTCCTACAGGTACAAGTAAAAATTTGAATCAACCAAAGACAAAACTTTGTGTGTTCTAATACCCATACTACCGTACTATATAGTACGCCATAAAAAGATTTAGTATGTCCCAATACATCGTATGTCAAATGCAGTATGCCAATAATACCAGGATGTTCTACCACATCCAAGCCAGCATGCTTATCTGGCTATTCTGACCTACAATCCTCTGCGCAGCGGAAGATTTGTCACATCAGGCTTGTCCGAGATGAGCCAGGCCTGCGCAGATTTGATCAGCGGCCATCCCTGCACAATGCATGCCAGTTAGTTTTGTGTCTGACATCATCCCGACTTGCTCTGACATCATACAAATGTGGATAGCGATAATCTAGCAAGAACGAGAAGATTTGTAAAGATTCAGAATTAGAGCCAGACGCCGCAGTTGCTCTCCCTCAATTGCAAGACCCAAGGCATCATGGGAAACACCTGGCTCAAATGATAGCTTGACAGCTGTCAGAAGCCGCAGTGATGGATGACAGTGCATTCAAGTAACTGATGATCAGTCAAATAGTAATAATAGAAATATTAATTGTAAGTAAACAAAATAATCATAAATATCACAAACAACAAAAGGACGTAACCATGAAAATAACAATGACAGAAAACCTCACTGTCACAAATCTGTTAGAATCTACAGTCTGTACAGTAATAACTTAAAAGTTAAACTACATACATTGCAAAGTAACAACAGCAGAGCTGTCTGGGTTGATCTCCGTGTCTGGTGAACTCTGTAAGGGGCATTTGTTTTATCTGCAAGGTAATGGATATAAAAGCAAGAGGGTCAAAGTTCAGGGTGTAATTTTATGAGAAAGTAGGTCTGTGTGTATATTGCATAATTTTTAAAGGCAGCTGCAGCACCTACTAAAAGTAACTAGAAAAAGTCAGCATTCAGAACACACCCACAGACTTATCTAATGCGATGTTTATGAGCTAGTCACAGTGTACTACATCATCAAAAGTGGACTGCAGTATAGCCACGCCCCCTTTTCTGAACAAACATGGCCGATCATGAGGTAAGGAGGACCTCAAGGTTTGTTTCAGTCTATAAATCATATTGTTAAAGTACATTATGTGTGTTAAAACTGTGTTTAAAGTAAACATGAGGTGTTATATTACTGATACATGTCAAAAATAATATAAAAAGATTTATAGCTTTTTACTCAGGATTAAAAAATATATATCATTCATTGGAAAAGATGCATGATAAGAATCACTGTAAAATGAATCAGGGGAAATACTGTTCTGATTTGATTCTCCTACGATTCAATCAGCTGATAAGGCATCTCATTGATTGTGTTCACGGAATATTCATCTCAGGAGGTTTGACATACTGTTTTATGGAGATGCTTCAGAAATTAAGAATATTTTGAATTGTGATGATGAATCTATCACAAAATATAAACGTGATGCATGTTTTTTTTGTAATAAGTGATGCAGGCATAAAGCAGGTGAAAGACATGACAGGAACAATGTGGGAGACAAGACAGGTGTAACAAACAACTGACAGAAAAGACAAACACAGGCATATTGGCATAACGTATGGCGACGGCATTGAGTGGCGTTTTGAGTGTTTGTGTTTGTGTTTGTGTTGAAGCAGTAAAAAGGGTAAATAATTTGGAACAAGGGGAGCAGGCAAAAGGAGAAGAGTCTGGGTTATAAATAGATTAAGTAAAATAATGTTAGAGAAAGAAAAGAGAAAAATAAATAAATACATTTTTGAAAAATCACAGAAGAAAATAAATAGATATATATTTTTTTAAGTCACAAAAGTTAAACATAATGTGAAATAAACAAATAATTCAATAAATAAATAAAATTAAGAATAACAAAAAAATAAATAGTAAATAGTAATAGTAATAGTAAAAAATAAAGAACTTAATAAATACATTTTTAAAAGAAAAAAACCCAAAATTAAAAATAAATATTTTTTTAAAAAATCCCAAAATTAAAAATAAATAATTTTTTTTAAAAAAATCTCAAAGTTAAAAATAAATACATTTTTTTTAAAAAAATCCCAAAATTAAAAATAAATACTTTTTTTTTAAAAAATCCCAAAATTAAAAATAAATACTTTTTTTAAAAAAAAAAATTCACAGAATTAAAAATAAATGCATTTTTAAAACGTCACAAATAAATAAATCAATACATTCAATACATACAAGTCACAAAAGTTAAACATAATGTAAAATAAATAAATAATTGAATAAATGAATAAATTAAAAAATATAAAAGTTGAAAATAAATAAATGAATAGATAAATTAAAGTATTAAAAAATAACAAAAGTTAGACATAAATAAATAAAAAGGGGGTCTCACTGATGGAGGCCACCACCTGCTGCTCCATGCAGAACAACCCCCATGATGTGTTTTAAAGCGTCACTTTTTTATTGATTCATTTAATTATTTAATAATAATAACAATAATGATAATAATAAATTATTTTCGTGATTGATTTATGATTGCATTTGGAGTAGAAATCTACCAGTACTATATTGTTTTCGAACATAATTTGGCTGTGAACGGGTTAAATAAACAATCTATACTTCCTCTACATATACCTTTCTACATCTTCTTTGTTCCTGTCAATGCACCAAGAGCAGTTTTGGTATTTCCCACAGCCCTTGAAGGCAGCGCCGGTCCTCACAGGGTGGGAGGGGGGTGTTTATAACACGCAGTAAAAACTCCAACACACACACACACAACTGCGTGTGTTTTCCTCCAGCACAGACAGGTAGTGCACAGGTACGGGACAGAGACAGAGACACCCACAACCCACACACACAGCAGGATGACACACGGCCTGACTGCCTATCGATCGATTACTAATTGATTAGTGACTTTAGCCTGTCAGCAGGATCTCACTGTGTCCAGCTGCATTGGATCACACTACCGTCCCGGTGTCGGACACAACATTCAACAGCGCTGCCATGCCTTCTCTGCGACACTCGTACACGGTGACGGTACCGGAGGAGCCGGCCGCTCTCCCAACAGACAAGCCCGAGCTGCGGCGGAAGAGTCCGTCGTTGTCCCGGTCCAAACTGGTGTCCACGTTCATGGGTCTGATCATCAACCAGGCCAAGGTGAGTCCCCCGCCGCTGCACCCCTGCTCCTGTCTGCCTCACCTGTCTCACAACATCCTCCTCTTCCTCACACCTTTTCATTTGGGAACTTTTTAATGCATGTTTTTTTTCTGTGTGTGCAGAGTTTGTAAAGTTCATATGTACTTGTGTGTGTCATACCAGCAGCCTGTTTCATTGTAAGGTGGCTCAGCCTTGAGGAGAGGGTCTGGGCCCTGCACCCTCGAGAGGAAAGTAGTTTTCAGGAGGGCATTATTTAGCTGATAAGTGTGAACACCCAGTCTGAACATTTACAGTGGTATTGTTTTCTTAAATATGTATTTAACTCAGATATTTAAACCTTTGTTCCTTAAAGGGGGACGATTAAACTCAAACATGTTATTTCTCTGGTCTAAAAAAGTTCAAAAATATCACTAAATATAATCAACTAGAGTGCTAAAACTCAAATTTGTGATAAAATCTGAAATATATTACCACTCCAAAGACAATAAATTGAGAAAAATGATACAGATACGTCTGAGACTTAAGAGATACACGTTCACAAATATTTACTGAATGTTCCTAAACCATGGAAACAGCATATTGAAATTCCTAATCTGGGTGGTGTTCCCCTTTAAGAAGAGGAAAGTGAAAGTTTGTGTCATGTGCCTGTAAGTTTTGTTTTTAATAAAATAGCATGCTGACCAGTATTTCAGGGTATATCTGTGCAAATATGGCAGTAAAACTAAAAACAGTTACTCATATTAAAAAATATTATGGCAGTAAAAAAAATTAGACCCCATGAAATACAGTTTGGACACTTGTGTGCAGCCTCTCAGACAAAATTATGTAATCACAGTCTTTAAATCACCCCCCGGCACAAACTTTGTCCCCTTATGTAACACTATAGAGAGCTTGGTCGAGGTCCGACTCTGACCTTTAAGCCCTTATCTGCCCTTAAGTGGCGAAGAATGGAGGCTGGACACACACACACACACACACACACACACACACACACACACACACCTAGGAAGTGGCATGAAACTGATGCTTCCAGTGTGACAACTCAAGCGTGACGTTAGTTGCGTCACAGGAGGGAGCGCTGCGGAGAAGGAATGTATCCAGACTGTCACCTCATCATCAGCACAGTACATTTTGGTAACACTCAGCCGGCACATGCTCGTGTCTGGAGTGTTTACAGCACTGAGTTTGTTTAAGGTCACAGGCTGCAAGTCTTTGTCCTTGAGGGGGTGTTACTGGTCCTTCAGTGGTGTGCACACGTGTATTTACAGTGGATGATTGCAGCAACTTTTCTCAGTGTAACTGTAGTTTATAGTGCTTCCTGGTGATGCTGATTGGTCCTCACTTTGGTCCAGACTGAAATATCTCCACAATTATGGGATAGATTGCCATGAAATTCGGTTAAGACATTCATGGTGATGATGGTGACCCTCTGACTTTCATCGGGCACCATCGTCAGCTTTTCTGTGAACACATTTTTATTTAGATTCTTTGTAAAGTATTACTAATAAATCATGTATACATAGGTGCATGTCATTCATATTTCTCCAATTGTTTTACAGATTTCGCAGTTATTGAAACTCCAGAAGAGTTACTAATAAATCTGATAGCTGATCAGCTTATTTTTTGGCCTATAAAATGTCAGAAACTACGAAAAAATTTCCGTCATCCGAAAATATTCAGTCTACCATCATTTAAGACCAAGAAAAGCAGCAAGTCCTCATATTTTAGATGCTGAAGCCAGGATAATGTGGCATATTTGCTTGAAAAATGATTTAAAAGATTGAGCGATTATCAAACTGTAGCCAATTTGTGCCCATCAATGCGTATGATATTTGGTTTTACTACCAACTTTCTGCACAGCTGATGGCGTTCCCATCGGCCTCAGCTGCTCTTTGTGTTAAAGTTCCTCTCCACGCTTTGATCAAACCCCTGAAAACGTATCTCAGAATCTAAAAACACTTTTTTTTTTTGTCATAAAAAACATCCCTTCATGCCTTAGAATGGCTTGGGTATAACTCCTTTACCTAACTTAGTATTTGCAGATCTGGCAATATGCAAATTAGCCTCACCCTTCAGTCGCTGGCCTGCAGCCCGAACATACCTGCTCACCTACGACTTGGCTCATTTAACACACAAACCTCTGCTTGCAAACAGAAATATATTTTGGCTTCACAACTTATCAAACAGCTCATATTCTGAAAAGTCAAAGTGAAGGTAAAGAAAGTAAAGCCCAGTTCAGACCAAAGATTCTGACCAGTTGAAACAGGCAGTGTGACACCAGACGTGATCCCAAGGTTCAAAGCAAGATAACAAGATAACCTACTGGACATGAGCATCTTGGTGTTTCTATTTTTAATGCTAGCATGCTGATATTAGCATTTAGCTTAATCATGTAGTGCGCAAATTTTGGCAGGGTATTGTTGTCTCAAATCAAACATGGCCGTTGTGACGGTCACAAGATTTGACAGCTTTTCTTCTTCTGCTTGGCAAATTGCAACCGAGCTGAGCATTATCGCCAAGATTTGACGAACGATTGTCACTACAACTGCTCGTTTGCCCACTTGTCTTCTTTTTATTGTGTTAAAATTGAACATGCTTTCATGGCACGTTACGAATGTCTGTGTCTGACACCGGCTGGCTCCGTCACCAGCTCATCTACGGAATCAATGATAACTGAGGCATTGACCATATCATTTTAGCACATCTTGTACATCAGGGGAAATTTTTCTCACCTCTCCTTAAAAATCTGAAGCTGCTCAATGAGTGAAGGAGCAGTCAGCTGAGACAAGAACATTTCTGTGTCTTCTCAAGCTGTATAAATGTTGGCAGTGATTTAAAAATGAACTCCATAACTTAACCTCTGCATAGTTTGTACAGTTTCAGGAGATTACTGATATTTCTGCTTGACTCTGGCACTTTGGACCTCTCTCAGCCCTGCTGGTATGTAGCAGAGATTTATGTTTATACTGTCTCCGAGGGAGTGGCATGGCTGGCACCGTGTGTGCAGGAGCGTTGCTTCCTTTTCGTCATGTGCCCTACGGCCTTGAGCAGGCATGCAAAGCTGGTTGAGGACATAGCGTTCTCTCCTTTCTCTCTGAAGTCATGCCAACCAGTTGAGAGCATTGTTGCTCAGAGCGCGGAGATTACCTGAACGCATCACTTCCTCGGTTTCTGGACTGGTCTTTTAAATCAGGAGCCGCCTGCTGAGCGTGCCGAGCCCCGCTGGTCAGTATTCACAAGAGCAGCGCAGCACATTGGGACTCAACACCATATGGTCACCTTCAAATGCTGCAGAGAAGAAGAAGGGGAGAAAAAAAATCAGAGATTTCAGCCAAGGAGTGCTGTTGATAGTTTATATTGTCACAGTTCTATTTTCAGGGTTGGAAAGCTTTTGGAACAACATGACGGCCATCACGAGGCACCAAACCTCTCCACTGAAAGTCTTGATAACACATAGGATATACAAACCTGTTCATATTTACTTTAAGAGGCTGTATGTGGCTTGCTTAGCTGCAAATCACACCTCATATCTCAAAGTCTGGCAGCGGTTACACTGATATCATGCGTTGGCTATGATAAAGTGCCACAGGAGAGGCACACTGGAAAATAAAAAGCAAACACACACCTTTTTCTGCAGAGACATGCTTTTTTTTCCTTCCGAGAAATACCAAATGAACAGATACAGCAGACATTTTGAATAGATTGCAGTAGATATCCATGATCTACGGGTAGCTGACAGTGCTGCTCAGTGTACATATTTGTGCCCCTATGTATGCTTCTGTCAGTGTGTTGCCTGTTGCCTGTTCCTCAACGCTGATATTTCCACATGCAGCTCTTCAGCTGTCAGCAGAGGCGTTGATGCATGACGGTGCTGACTGGCACCGGGTGATCACGTTGCACTGTTACTTTGTTCCCTCATTAAGGATGAGCTACAGGTCACAAGCCAGAGTGTCACCTGTTGATACTCAGATACCAGTGTTGCTAAAGAAAACAATATCAACAACAGTATTTATCCATTAACAACAATTATTCACATGAGCGGCAGATGTTAGTGTGAGAAATATACTCGCCATGGTCGCAGCAAGCTTGACTTAGGGGCCTGCATATCTGCAATGGCACCGCTGTTGCTTTCTCTGCCGTAAAATCAGAATTGATAATATAGTAAACTCTTACAGTAGCCACCATGATGTCACCCATTGGTCTGTGGATTTCCATTTCAAAGCCTTGAGTCACCATCTTGGATTTTTGGAGTCAGAAGTGACTGTATTTGGACAAGAGGGTGGCGATAACCCTAACACTAGCTGCTAGCTTGGTTAGCATGATGCATTCGCAGTCAATTACTGTTAACTGTGATAATGCTAATGCTAATTTTAGCCAGCAGAAGACAGGCTTAAAATCATTCAAACAAAATGTACTTAAAAAACTTAACATCCGACTCCTTTTAAGGGTCTTGCACTGAACAACACTTTTTTAGGTGACCAGAATGTTAAAAATAACTTTCACGACATGAAACAGCACAGAAATAACAGCAGCTACGGCTAAGCCTATACTCCATGCTTACGTTAGCTATCCAACATTGTTGCCTGGGAAGAGACTTGTCATCCACCTGTCACACAAAGCGGCCACGTTCTTAATTGTGCGTAACTTTAAGCCGTAATAAAATGTAAACAGGTGACATATATGAAAATTCATCCCCGTAAAGTTGTCATTAACATGGAAATTAGTCACAGACACCAAAACTGTTTTTTGTACCTCGCTGTAAACACGTTTTTTTTCTGCTGTAAGTTGAGCCTATGGGGATTGACTTGCTCGTGGAGCCAGCCTCTAGTGGCCATAAGAGGAACTGCGGCTTTTGGCACTCTCCTGACCTGAAACCTAACACTTGTTTTTTGACATGGAGGTTAAAACTAGTCTGAATTTGGTTGAAATGTAAAAGTATTTTAAATACCTAGGCAGCAACAGGCTGTAAGTGACAGTATTTCAGTATGAAGCAGTCCCAGTGACATGTTTAATTACATTTAATTTGTTTTAATCCTGGTGTCTCCACATCTTTTGATCCACAAGTCAAATCTTCTTACTAAAATAATAATCTCATTATCCACTGCAGATCCATTACACCCATAAAGGTTTGATAGATATGACCGAGTTAATCTAAATGCTGTTTGAAGGCATTATTCTGACAAGAGCTAGAGTTTAAGAAAAAGCCAGATGCTTGAGATTGCTCTGTAATTTCTCAGTCATACATCCATCAGCAGATGGCTTTCAGAGCCTTGCATCAGTCATCCCTACAGATGATTAACACTTCGCTGCCGGTGGCTCCAGATATGTTGTATAACTCGTTGATCCTTGACTCAGGCAGCAATGTGAAACTCTTCACACAGACAGCACGACACCACGTTGTGTTCTGCAGATTCTCAGTAGAGCTTTTCTCTCCAGGTCTGTGTCACATGCCCGGTGTGATGTCACCGTGGTGTGAGTGGTGGCTGCTGGTCAGGACACACTGTGGTATTTCATCTGAGCATGTGGAACAGTAGCTGATATCCACAGCTACAGTGCTGCCAGCAATGTGACCATCAGATGGTGCGCATTGAATAAATGCCAGACGGTCCTTCGAGGCTTTTTCACACTTAAAGAAAGTAACAGGGTTGCTATCATACAGTAGTTACATCATACTGGGAGTGTGTGCAGGCTGATCTGTTGGCGCCCACAGCAGGCTGCACTGACGAGGGAAAGAACAATAAATATCTGTGTGGACACTTTTAGAAAATGGCTTCATGTGTCTCTTTAGAATCAGGACATCGTTACATAATCATTTGACATGTTAGTATGATTGCATTAACTCACAAAACAACAGCTCAGAAAGACTATATTAGTTATTTTATGGTATGTATGACTACTGTATGACTTGTTCCCATTTGGGCCCCCTGTGATGATGTTTGCAATATTATTTTTGCAGCATGTATCAACACTTTTGTTGATTTTAAAAGTGTTGATATATAAAGGATTAACACACATATTGAGCTTCAGATTTGCAGCACGCTCACATAATCTAATGTGTCCTCATATGGTTCATATGATATCTAACCAATTAGTGCCCTATGAATGGCGTTGTGAAGTTACTCAGGTTAGGTTTAGGCAAGTAAAGTTATGTAGGTTAGGTTTAAGAAAAGAAACATGGTGACAACATACCTGAAAACAATTCAAAGTTCACTTGGTTTCACTTAGGACACAAACACTGTTCTCGTGGGGAAAAGTCCTATATCTGTTTGACTAATCCACCACCCCAAACCTGCCTACTTAGATAGACTTTCGGTTGTTGTGCTACTTTCTTCTTTACACCCGTCAGTGCAGTGGTCATGTGGTTACAGCCTATATACAAACTACTGGCTCATTATTACATAGGTCATAAGAATTCTGGTACATTCATTTTTGAAACCAACAGTGCATGAGAACAGCTTGCATAATATAAAGAACTTTAATCCTTGAATGAATTTGTTATACTCTGTTATCTACTGTCCAGCTGCCTGTCAGATGTTTCTGCTGGGTCTTTGTCGTGCTGTGCGACACCTTCATTTGTTATCTCTTTAATTTCTAACTCCCCAAAAATGCAGCCATAAACTAAAAATCTCCTCTCTTTCTATTTGAATAGCACAAAGGTCCTCAAGGCCTGGTGGGACTGAGGAACCTGGGCAACACAGTAAGTGCTTTCTATTCACTTTGTGGTGTAATCGTACAGCATGCTGCACTTTGACCTGCTGATTCTGGAGCCTCATTTAATCAATTTTTGCGTTTTATGCGATTTTCCAGTGTTTCATGAACTCCATCCTACAATGCCTCAGTAACACTCCCGAGCTGAGGGATTACTGCCTGAGAAACGTCCATCGCACAGACCTCAACAACAACTGCATGACGAACGCCGCTCTCATGGAAGGTAGGTGAGAGACGTGACAACACATGTAAACATAACGAGGAATACTGTGGAACTGTGCCGTGACTTGTCAGTGATGAGTCACTTTATGGCTCGGCAGTAGGTCGTATATTGTCATTTTATATGTACTTTATAATCCTGAAACTACATGTTGCTATGCTGCACTGCTAAAAATATGACGACTAAACCATCATCACTTGGCGTGGGAAGAATGACCACACCGAAGTGACAAAACTGCAGTCAGATCATACAGAACTGAGATTATAAGTTTCAGCAGAATTAGAATTGTGCTGGCACAAAATGAAAGGGACTGTTGTCCTCCTGCAGGGCTTTTTAGAGGGTGTGTTTGTGCAGCGTGTTCTTACAGGTCACTGACTCCAGTGTTTGCATATCCTAATTAAATCCTACTTTTCCAAAGCTCAGTACAAAAGGCCATATGTTGTGTGTCTCTGTGATTCGTACAAAAAAGTTACCTCAGCTAGTTTTTATTTAGTTTAGTGTTTTTTGCAATTAACTTATGCAACAAAATATTCTCAACTCAAGGTCCCACTTCTTAGCTGTTCCAGAGCTTTCAACCACAATCAATCAGTCTCAGGTGACTCTTTATCAGTGCACAGAACTGGCTCAGGTGTCCTCAGGTGACCTACCTCAACTGTGTTACATCACTCTTACACCATGACACCTGAGCCAGCTCCATTAGCTGATGAAGACCTTGAGATGTAGTTAAGTGGACATTGAGCTGAAGGCAGGTATGCCCTTTGATGCCTTTTAAATAATCATTTTAAGTTAGGATGAGATGAAACATTTATTTTTGTACAAATAAGTACAAATTTCCCACGAGTTCAGGCTGGTTTGCGGCACAGTTTGATGTAAAGAAATGCCCCGGTCAAGGTCAAAGCTTTGCATCTTAAGCTAAAGACCACAGATTCTCTGAAAACCCTGTTTGTGACTTTGGAGCAAAATGCAAATTCTGAGGAAAGAAATTCTGCGTGTAAGAGGATCCAGTCTGTGTCATCGTTTTGTCAGTAAAATCTTTACCTTTAAATTTTGGTGTTGCATTATTGTGGTCTCATTTTCTGTCTGTCTCTTTCCTTCTCCTCAGAGTTTGCCAAGCTGACTCAGAGCCTGTGGACGACTGTGAACAACGAGGCCATCAGTCCCTCTGACTTCAGGAGCCAGATCCAGAGATACGCTCCCAAATTTGTGGGCTGCAAGTAAGTCTCCCCATCCTCCTGCCTGCAAGCAGATTGTTTCATTCAGTCTCGTTCAAGAATTATAGCTGATTTCAGAGTAAACAAAGTAGAACAAAGAACTCCTGCACTTGCAATTAAAAGAGATTTATTGGTAACAAGGTTTGGTACAGAGATTTTGATCAGGGTGCTTTACCTGATTAAAATGACAAAGGCCTCTGCACCCAAACATTGTTCCCACTAAATCTCTTATAATTGCAAGTGTAGCAGACGGTGTGCTCTTTGTTCTACTATAGTTTTTCAACTAACAGAAAGTAACAAGCTTTTGTCTCTGCAGTCAGCAGGACGCCCAGGAGTTCCTGCGTTTCTTACTGGACGGCCTCCATAACGAGGTGAACAGAGTGACAGTGCGACCGAAGGTGTCTGTCGAGGACTTTGACCACCTCTCGTAAGTCAGCACTTTCCCCCACCTCTCACCTCTGCTCCCAATAAGTCACCCATAACCTGCCCTGTCGCTGACCTCTGCCAGTAAACTGAGCTGCATACCTGAGAGGTGGGAATAAGCTGTGTAATCATTTATAATTATAACGTAATTAATTACTCAAGATTTTGCAGTTAGTGGCCATTTCTGAACCTCATACCTTTCTGCAGAGGAACCATTACCCCATGTATGTTAAATATTCATAATAGTCATTTTCATACTGAAATAAGTGGAATTCCAACCCTGAGAAAGGAACTTTATGGTGTCTTAAAGGGACAGTTCATACGATAAAAATATTGTGATATAATTTTCAGGACATATCGCCCAGCCCTAGTTACCGGGTCATGATTTCTGGAAAGAGACATTGCTGTTGCTGAGTTTTTCAAGTGTATTTATTTGGCACTTTGAGCACTACAAGCCAAGTGCCATCTAATTCCATTGTACTCAAGAGAAGGCAGACATCTCTATGGCCGATAATTCTAACACTCTGCAACTCAAACCAAAATTGGGGTGAAATGTCCCTTTTAAAGTGGCTTGCATCTGAGAAAAACTTTACATTGGATTTTTATTTAAAATAATTGACTTGTTTGACTTCATTCACAGGGACGATGAAAAAGGAAAGCGGATGTGGAACATGTACTTGGAGAGAGAAGACAGCAAAGTAGTGGGTAAGAGATTTACCTTGTTTGGCCGCTTTACTACCTTCAACCATCTTTGAATTAGGATGCATATTAAATATAATTCTCCATCTCTTCATTCTGCCTTTAGATCTGTTTGTTGGTCAGCTGAAGAGCTCTGTGACCTGCACTGTCTGTGGTTTCCGCTCCACTGTGTTTGATCCATTCTGGGACCTATCCATACCTGTTGCACAGGTGAGAATACACACACATAAGCCCCTGTACCTAGGGTCTAGGTACCATGTCTGAAGGGTTACTTTTGGTTTCAAAGTTACCATGTCATACTTTGATGGTAAACAGACAAAAAGGCCAGTGTCGTCATGCTGTGACATATAGTATACTATAAATATAATGTAGCTGTTTCCTGATCGGACATGTTCTGTGTCTCCACAGAAGAGCACAGGCGAAGTGACTCTCAAAGACTGCTTGAGGCTCTTTACAAAAGAAGATGTGTTGGACGGAGAAGAGAGACCGGTAAGAGGCCTCGCTGAACACAACCCCCTCCACGTTCCTTTGTGAAGATGATATATGGGTTTTACAGCTGCACTATCTCACCGCCCTCTCCGTGGTTGTATCTCTTTCTCTCTCAGACGTGCAACAGATGCAAAACCAGAAGGAAATGCACCAAAAGATTCAGCATTCAGAAGTTCCCTCAGATCCTCGTGCTTCGTATCCTTTCCTCTCAGCTTTGTGCCATTTGTTTAAAGATTACAGCATGAACATACACATGTAAGTGACAGCAGTGATACACCAGAAATATATGGCTGACTGCTTTCAGGGTTCAGAGTGTTATATTGATAAGATAAAGTATAGGCGGGTCATTCCATGGAAACTGTTGGACCTTGGATTTCTAAGATTTTCTTATCATAACCAAATGTAGAACTGTGTTTTTTGATAGCATGAAGAATACGTTAGACCTGCAAGATAAGGCACTTTTTTATGCCTCCATGCTGTCGAGAGCCGTAGCCAGAGGTGTTATGTTTTCAGGTTATCCATTCGTTCGCCTATCCATCTCATGAACATGATATCTCAAGAACGCCTGAAGGGAATTTCTTTAAATTTGGCACAAATTTCCACTTGGACCCAACAATGAACTGATTAGATTTTGTTGGTCAAAGGACAAGGTCACTGTGACCTCATCGGTCACTGTGACCTCATCAGTCTCATTCCTGTGAACACAATATCTTAAGAACACCTTGAGGGAGTTTCCTCAAATTTGGCACAATTGTCCACGTGGACTTAAGAATGAACTGATTAGATTTTGGTGGTCAAAGGTCGAAGGTCTCTGTGACCTCAAAAAACATGTTTTGGCCATAACTCAAGACTTCATTCGCTACTTACGACAAAATTTCACACAAATGTCCAACAGGATAAAACGATAAAGTGATTACATGTTACATCCAAAGGTCATTTGATCAGATACTGAATTGGTGACACTAATGTGTCCACCTTGAAAGTGTGCTGATTGTATAGATTGTCTGTTTGATGGGGTGGTTGCAGTACGTTGTGCTCAACAGAGAAGATTTTGACAGAAAAATGTTCTAAAAGAAAATAAAAACTCACTACCATTGAAATTTGTCTTCTCCAGACTCTTAAAATGTGTCATCGCTTCTTAGTGATGTCACTTAAAGCACATTAATGTTATTTTGAGCTTCTGTCGACTCCTTGACTCCGTGTTCCTCTCAGACCTGAAGCGTTTTTCAGACTCCAACATCCGAACCAGCAAACTCTCCACGTACGTCAACTTCCCTCTCAAAGAGCTGGACCTGCGGGAGTTCGCCTCAGAGAGTGGCGGTAAGTATTCGCCGAAGGTGACACACGCTGTCACCAGAGGAGGACATTTCGTGCTTCATCCAAGGTCGGCTGGATCTGATGAGTAAGGATTGCAGTCTTGTTGACTGACAGTGTTGTGTCTCCCTGCAGAGCGCGCTGTGTATAACCTGTACGCAGTATCCAACCACACGGGAAACGCTTTGGGAGGCCATTACACAGCCTACTGCAAGAACCCGGCGCTGGGAGAGTGGTACAACTACAACGATGCCAGGTATCACCTCTCACATCTACTTGTATATCATCATGTTACTCTTATCAGATTGGCAGAAAGCTGTGCAATTGAATTGTATTGACTGCAGCTGCTGTCAAATGGAAATGACCTCATTCTAGCTGCATACAGGTGTCAGATCTTTGGCAAATGAGCACATTAGGTGTATGCATGTAAGTGCCTGTGTGTGCCTGCGGTTGTTATCGGAGAAAAATGCTCTGTGATATTTTGTGTACTAACTACAGTATGTACTGTGTGTCCTGTGCAGGGTGAGTCCAGTGTCCTCCAGTCAGGTTCGCAGCAGCAACGCCTACGTCCTCTTCTACGAGCTGGCCCCCACCCCACACAGCAAATATCAGACGTGTCGACTCTGACGCCGTGGAGGAGTTGACAAGCTGCACTGAACTGCTCTCAAGAATGGAGTCAGACACTGCCTGCTGCGAGGGAGCTCCTCCTGGTGGAGAGAGTCCTGCCATTACAGACTGTGAATATGGAGCACAAAGACAGAGAACAAAACGCCATCTGACCTTCCACTCAGTGTGTTTTTTGAGAAAAGGGTGGATGTGAAAGCACATTCGAACTAAAGGATGTCAAGCTGAGCTCATAAGTTGAATGGAACTTAAGTGACACTGGGAAAATACTGTTAAAAGGGTGTGGAAATTCAGCTCAAGAGGCAGCTGTTAGTCCAATTAAAATGCCTTTTTGGACATTAAGAAGACCACCTTTACTCTAAGAAAAGACATTTTACAGCTGTGCCTGGACCTGAATTTACACCCACTTTAGTGGATTTTTTTTTCTTTTTTAATGTACTTTGAACATGGACAATTAACCTTAAGGACATTACTGTGTGATGACATTGCAGAGATTTGCCTGACATAGCAACTGCAAGACCTAATTTATTCTATTTTACATAATGCCAGTAACTGAAATTGCATACTGTATATGTCATTGAACAAAGCCTTATGGTTTCCTCTTAGAACAGTGGAAATCCACTACTGGAGTGAGGATGTTTTATGTCAGAGCACATTTTATTTTTGTACAGTATTTATGGACAGCACAGTGAATGTAACTGTACTGTGGGAAAACCAGACATACCAAAGCAGCTGTATAAAAATGCATCAACAAGACTTCTTTCAGCAATAAGGCTGCTGATTTTACATCCAAGTCAATTCAGTGAATGATTAGAATTTAAATAACTCATCATGAAGATCTGGCATGAGAGGGCGATACCCACAGACCTCAGAGATGTCATCCTTTGTAAAAAGTGAGGCATGACAGTGTGGAAACTACAGTGGCGTCTCACTCCTGTCCACAACTGGGAAGATTATTGCCCACATTTCTTTCATAAGACTCCTTCCATTATCAGAAGAAGTCGTCCCTGAATCATAGTGCAGTTTCCGTCCTGCCTGTGGTACAACTGACCTGATCCTCCAAGCTAGACAGTTACAAAAAAATGAAAGGAAACAAAACCAACCAATAGAACTGGCCTCCATCGACCTTACCTAAGCATTTGACTCTGTGAACCGTCAGGCCCTCTGGACATTCCTGTCAAAGTGTGGATGTCCAGAAACTCCATTAGGATTCTGAGGTTCCTTCATGTCAGCATGTCATGGCACAGAGACCAAACCTTTCAAGGTAGATATTGCCATTAAACAAGGACGCATCATTGCCCATAGCCTTTTCCTCACCTATCACAGTTCCCCCCTGTGTCCAGATCATTATAGTCCACACAATTAAAGATCTTCAGTGCATACTTGATTCCTTTACCCGGGTGTACTAACTCCTTGGTCTGGCCATGAACATCATACAGATCTCCATCAGTTCCCACCAGACTCCTCCGCATCCCGCCAACAATACCAAGCGACAGTAGCTCCTTTTACACCACCTGTTCAAGGTGGGAATGTTGCTCCATTATTGCGCATTGCCATTCAGTCCCAGAATGCGGGGAAGGAGTTGTCTGGCCTTTAAGCCGGCAGCAAAGGTAGTAACAGCAGAACCCTGGAATGCTTTCTAAAATCATAGAGTGGGGCTGCATTACGCTTGCATTTTTTGGTTCTGTGTAAAAAAGCAAAGCCAACATAGTAAAGGGTTTTCCTTGCCTCCCAGTCATGGGATCTCTGTAAAAAAAAAAAAGAAAAGAAAAGAAAAGAAAAGAAAAAGTGTGAACCTTGAAAATGTGGACCAGGTCCTCTACCTTGGAAGTCACCTCTTCTCATGGGCAGACATTGGCCATGAGGTACACCAGCACATCTGCTGTGCCAGTGGGGCTGTTGCAAAGCTCCATAGAAGAGTATTTGAAAGCTCTGACTTGCTTGTAAAGGTCTACAAAGCAGTTATCTTGCCCACTCTTTTATACGGTGACATCTGGAGTAAGCATATAAGAGTCGTGAGAGACATTAAGTCCTACCACCAGAGATGCCTACAAAAACTCTTGCGCATCAGCTGGAAGGAGAATCGCACTAATGTCAGTGTTCATTAGGAAGCAACCATTGACAGAATTGCCACCAACATTATTTGACACCAGACAAGATGGACAGGCCATGTAATATCGGACACACGCCTCCAGAAACTGGTCCTATAACTCACAACTAAATGTTGGCCAACAAACATCCCAAGGTCAGAAAAGGCGTTTCAAGAACAACATTTTGATCAGCCTCAAAAATCACATAAACAGATCAAACTATCAGGACAGATTATGCTAAAAACAGAACCCCATGAACAGTTTACATGAAGGAACCACATTCCATAAAGACGATCTCCAAAATGCTGCCAGAGTTGAGCAGCAGCAAAACAAGAGTTCCCACCAAAAAGACTCCACATTCCACTTCCAGCACCTCACATCAATGCCCACACTGCAAGAAAGTTTGTGGCTGTGGTTGTTGAATTGTTCTCTTCAGCCATTTGAGACCTACAAAATGGATGCCCCAGGGGGACTATCATGAGCGACCGCCAATGATGAGGACTGTGGGAAAGCCAGACTTACCAAAGCTGCTGTATAAAAATGCATCAACAATACTTTCCCAGCAATAATGTTGCTGACTTGACATGTAAGTCAGTTCAAGAGTATATGAATGAATAAAATTACATGTTAACGTACTCTGCATCATGTGTTTATTACTTTATTTAACCATTATGTATCCAGCCAGCCAAATAAAAGTTCAGGAGGAGTTTATGAGGTAAAAATATGAAATATAAATAAAAACACAGCTAATTCAGAGACAATTTGTTTCAAGACTACAATAAATTAAACACAAACTATTGATCACTTTTAACTTGTTAAAATCAATATTAATTGGGTTTTTTTTGGCCACCTGGGGGCAGCAGAACAAACTGTTAACACAACATTTGACATATGGTTTTAAATGGTTACCTGCGAATATATCCAGCAGACACGAAGCAACAATAACATTTGTACAGTCATGTTTCTAGCCTCATGATGGAGTTTAATTCCTGTATTTGCTCTCCTTTTAGCTCTGTTTTTGGTCTCAACCACCTCCTGAGAAAAATATCTGGCTCTTTAGTGGCTAAATGCTCCGTTATGTTCACCTTAATTCTGTTTGGTATTTGCTGCTGAGCAGATATTGTACACTTTGTGAAAGGATTTTTTTGTCCATCAAATGACCATTTGTATATCAGTTACTCTCCCTGTGTTATGTTGTTTTCCTCGCCTGCCTCAATGGTGAACAAAGAATCCAAAAACGGCAAACTTTCTTGGTTAATTGAAGTAAAGGGGGTCAAACCATATCAAAACTTCTACATGAGTAGCACACACAGGTAGCCAGGTGTATTCTAACTCAAGGTGCTTGTGTATTCCATTGAAGTGCGCAGGGGCGTTACTTACCTGTTTATTCCGTGTTTTAAATAGTAAGGTTTTAGCAAAATGCTGAGCAGTACTGAGCACACGACAAATGACTTTTGGAATACACTGCATGAGTTGTGTTAGAGCTTGTAAACAGATGTTTTGATATAGTTTTGCCGTTGTTAAACACAGACCCCTACAACTTCAGTTCATCAAGAATGTTCGCCCTTTTTGGATTCTTCGTTCACTCAGTATGTTTACATGACCCTTGAAAAAAAACGAATTATTGCCTTAATCCGACTATAACTGGACAACTGAAGTGCATGTAAACGCCGTACTCCGACTAATATTGGAGTTCTCCAACTCCGATTAAGACACCCAGATAATGCAACTGGAATTCGATTTTCTCCGGCATGTATATGCCTTAATCGGAGTTAAACTAGACAATGCATGTGTGCATGCTCCACACACCCCGCACTGGCGTATGACCCCGGAACAGACAAGACATGCTGTTGTTGTAGCCCTCCAACAGCATACAACGTTCTTGTCTGCCTCTCGAAATCACCATGACCATAAGGGATAGCGTGCACCTTATCTGCACAATCAGTAACGCGTACAATACGTACGAGATGAACAAAGCCGTACGATTATCCATCTTGCTGTTGTTCGAAAATGCCAGTCTGCCGCCTGACTCCAGTTCTTTATTATTAAGTGACGTAATAGGACAACTGGAAACCGAAATCCGACTGTGTATGCATGCGAGGAGAACAAGGTTTTCATCACGAATTCAACGTAAGTGAAGGTGAGTAATTTATATATACAGTCAGGTCCATAATTATTTGGACAATGATACAGTTGTCGTCATTTTGGCTCTGTACACCACCACAATGGGTTTTAAATGAAACAATGAATACCTGCTTAAAGTGCAGACTCTCAGCTTTCATTTAAGGCTTTTTTCAAAAATGTAGTATGAACCGTGTAGGAATGACAACCATTTCTTCACACAGTCCCCCGACTTTAAGGGCTCATAAGTATTTGGACAAACTAACATAATCATCAATTAAACAGTCAGTTTTAATACTTGGTTGCAAATCCTTCACAGTCAATGACTGCCTGAAGTGTTGGACACATAGGCATCATCAGATGCTGGGTTTCTTCCCTGGTGATGCTCTGCCAGCCCTTTACTGCAGCCGTCTGCACTTCCTGCTTGTGTTTTGGGTGTTTTGCCCTCAGTTTTGGCTTCAGCAAGAGAAACGCATGCTCAGTTGGATTCAGGTCAGATGATATGACTTGGCCATTGCAGAACATTCCACTTCTTTGCCTTAAAAATGTCTTTGGTTGCTTTTGCAGTATGCTTCAGGTCAATGTCCAACTGCACTGTGAAGCATCGTCCAATGAGTTTTGAAGCATTTAGTTGAATCTGAGCAGGTAATGGTGCCCCAAACACTTCAGCTTTCATCCTGCTGCTCTTGTCAGCAAGACAAGACTTCACTAGAATAAATACAGAGGGTTTATCACAAGATGCAAACCATTGGTTAGCCTTTAAAATGGAAGGCCAGATTAGAGTTTGTCATAAACCATCTAAAAAGCCTGTACAGTTGTGGAACAGCATACTATGGACAGATAAAACAAAGATCAACTACCAGAATGATGGGAAGACAAGAGAAGGAAGAAGGGAAGGAATTGCTCATGATCCAAAGCACACCACCTCATCAGTGAAGCATGGTGGAGGTACTGTTATGTCATGGCCATGTATGGCTGCCAGTGGAACTGGTTCTGTTGTATTTATTGATGATGTGACTGCTGACAAGAGCAGCAGGATGAAAGCTGAAGTGTTTGGGGCACCATTATCTGCTCAGATTCAACCAAATGCTTCTAAACTCATTGGATGATGCTTCACAGTGCAGTTGGACATTGACCTGAAGCATACTGCAAAAGCAACCAAAGACATTTTTAAGGCAAAGAAGTGGAATGTTCTGCAATGGCCAAGTCATATCATCTGACCTGAATCCAACTGAGCATGCGTTTCTCTTGCTGAAGCCAAAACTGAGGGCAAAACACCCAAAACACAAGCAGGAAGTGCAGACAGCTACAGTAAAGGGCTGACAGAGCATCACCAGGGAAGAAGCCCAGCATCTGATGATGTCTATGGGTCCAACACTTCAGGCAGTCATTGACTGTAAAGGATTTGCAACCAAGTATTAAAACTGACTGTTTAATTGATAATTATGTTAGTTTGTCCAAATACTTATGAGCCCTTAAAGTCGGGGGACTGTGTGAAGAAATGGTTGTCATTCCTACACGGTTCATACTACATTTTTGAAAAAAGGCTTAAATGAAAGCTGAGAGTCTGCACTTTAAGCAGGTATTCATTGTTTCATTTAAAACCCATTGTGGTGGTGTACAGAGCCAAAATGATGACAACTGTATCATTGTCCAAATAATTATGGACCTGACTGTATATATATGGTTGTTTTGTGGGTGAAGTATACCTTTCATCAGAGCTGCCTGCTGTGGCTTGAAATGAGGTTAATTGGAACATAGTTGTGGACTGAAAATTTAAAACCAAAAGCCTCATATTGTTGAGTGGAACTCTTGGATGATAATTCTCTGTGGGTTCATCACAACAAGTGACACCTTTTTGAGTACACACAGTGAAGTCACCCATTGGTGAATGGAACAATATTAAAAATATTAATTACTGCAGCTTTAAGTTGTAGCATTTAAATGGCTTAATGAAACATAGAAAATCTGAATTATTAGATAAAACAAAATAGATATTATAAAGGGTTCCCACAGTCATTAAAAACCTGGAAAAGTCATGGAATTTCCCAATCACATCCTCTAGGCCTGGAAAAAGTCAAGGAATTAGTAAAAATCACTCCAAGTGTTGGATAAGCCGTGGAGTTTTTTTGTGTGTAAAGAGATTGTTGCAGTAATCTAATCAACATAAGTACAGTAGCTCTAATATGCGTCAATGTGTGACAATATTTTGTTTCTCCTGCATTCTGTCTCTTCCTTCGTGTATACACATGAGCTGAAAATATGTTTGAATCTGATATGTTTGAAAGACACAGCGCAAGTGGGGCAAACACATTTGTTTATTTTTTATTGTGGGTTTCCTGAAAAGTCATGGACATTTCTTTAATTTTGTCCATGAAAATGTGTGGGAACCCTGAATAAAATAAAATAAACTGCAGCTTTATAATGGGATGTAACCCAGCTGATGGTATAATAACACTGACTAGTGATGTAAAAAACAAAAAACAAAACAATAAACCTCAACTATGCCTTATCTGGTAATTTGTGCAGTATTAGCAACACACCAAAAGTTAAAAATGTGTTATTTCCTATATTAATCACCAGTCCTGCACATAGCCAGAAAACAAGCAGAGGTCACTGAGTGTGAAATGCCATCTGTGAACTTCCAGGCTAAATGAGCAGATTATGGTTGGAGTGGATTTATGTCAGAAACACCTTTGACCCACTTAAAACAAGGCCATCTGACAGAGGTGCTGGTTTCACACTACAGCCACTAGAGGGAGCTGTGTGCTGTGGTCATGAAGTGTGTGTGTACACAGAAGAGGTGTTAGTGTGTAGCCCATAGATTGAGTTGGTGTGGACCAATGCTGATATTTGTTGAAGCTGTCTTTTGTTTGTTTTTTGTAGTCAGTACCTCGACACGAGTCCATCGGCTTATCAGACAAACTGACTCTCAGATTCTGTTTAGAAAGATGAGGGTAGAAAATAACAACTGCATACCTGATATTTAAAAAGTACGGTGTACTATAAGGGACAAAATGTAGTGTAATTTAGTAAAATTAAACCAATGTGTAACCCAGAACCAAAGGTTTGCAGTGGACACCACCCCCATCTTTCCTCTCGCTTCCCTCTGAGGAAACACTTATCCTTGAGCCACTGAGCTTGTTAACGCCTGGGGGCAAAGAAATGTATGTGGGTGTGTGTGTGTGTGTGTGTGTGTGTGTGTATGTGTGTGTATGTGTGTGTGTGTTTGTGTGTATTGGAGAAGGGAAGCGTCCTGGCTGTATGTACCTGCAAGGATAAAAAAACAAAAAAGGAATGAAAATCAAATTTAAAATGACCATTTTTTGTAACAATATTTTTCATTAGAGTTTACAAGTGAGTGTATATTTCTATATTTGTAATTGCTTCTTTTCCTATGAGATCATATATTGGTGTGCTGTCCAGATGGTGGGCAGGCAGCTGCAGGCAACGACTACTGACACTGCAAAAATGCTTGTTATTTGCATCGATAGCCCTTTCCATACAATAATTATGGCATTTTAGGGAGTTCAGACCTCATTGTTTTCCTAATTTGCAGACATTTTCAGTTGCTGTTCCTTCTTCCTCAAGTTAGCTGCTAACTTCTAACAGCTTCTTTTCAAATCTCCTGTGGTGGGTTGCACTCATGACACGTCAAAATGTCACACCCGTCCCATCCATGGTCCCATCCTGTCAGCTGTCCCTTTTACATAGACATTGATTTGGCGCAGTTACTACCTCCGCTGCTGGGTTAATGGCGAGACAACTCTCTCCCTCCATTCTGCAATCATACCTTTTATACAGAACGGCGAGGCGGCATAAAGGCGCAATATTCTGATGTAGACCAAAAACCTCCGTCTTCAGTCTGGAGGAGTGGAGTCAACTAATGTCTAACATTACTGTTAAAGCTTTCGGTTAAACATGCCTGGAGCTGGATACAATTATAATGTGCTGTGACAACTTCTCCATGTTTTTAGCCACGATCCAGGTTTTTAACAGCGTTTAACCCGACATGTGGGAACGGTTAACCAAGTGGGTACAAAATAGTGGCTTAAGTTAGCTAATGTTAGCTAGTAATGTTACCCAGTAAATCAGCCTGACAGCGGTGCATCCATATACGGACTTGAAATATTGAGGACAGTTATACTCAATCACATTTACAAATCTGTCCAAAATCAAGATGGCAGTCATTTCAGTCGTGGACCCAACTGCACACAAAACAGTTATTGCCCACTGGACTCCTGTATGCTCTCATCAACTCACCATGTAACTTTAAATTAGGAGCTCTGGAGGACAAGGTCATTTGTAACGACACACATTCTCACTCCAACCTCGTCACATATTGACGTTTGGTCATAGACTGTCCACGTCCACGTACAACATTCTGGGATGCCGTGTCAACTTCAGCCTGTTACGTGCATCATCTGTTTTCAAAATACACTTCCATTTTTACAGGAAATATACCATTTACATACAGTCTCTTTGAAAATAAATGCACTACTTCAGTACAACGCAAATTGACGTTTTAACGTTATGTGGATAAGTTTAGGAAAAAGAGAACAGGGTTTAGCTTTAGAATCTTACGGGACACAAACACTGCTCTTCCAGGTGAAAGTCAGTGGTTGTTGGACTCATCCACCACCCCTCCCACTACAGTCGCACTTAACTGCCTTAACTTCTGTCCTTGCCCTTGTCTGCATTTCCTCCTGAGGCCGCCAGGCGTCATTAAACTATAACGGCAACCGGCCGCGTATCATACTGACGTTAAAGGACGCCGTTTTTCTTTGGTTTCTGATGCCGCAAGTCCCTGCCCAAGTGGCAGATTTCAACGACTTTGGAGAGAGACTGGGCTCGCAGGTTCAGCCAACCCCTTCACTTTCCCCTATTTTCAATTCACGCAGTAAATGAATTTATCACTTCCTGCCCTCCATCTGAATATCTTGCGTCATGAAAGTCATAAGCTATTGGATGTATGCATTTGTATCGTTGTATCATACTGACGTTAAAGGACGCCGTTTTTCTTTGGTTTCTGATGCCGCAAGTCCCTGCCCAAGCGGCAGATTTCGACGACTTTGGACAGAGACTGGGCTCGCAGGTTCAGCCAACCCCTTCACTTTCCTCTATTTTCAATTCACGCAGTAAATGAATTTATCACTTCCTGCCCTCCATCTGAATTTCTTGCGTCATGAAAGTCATAAGCTATTGGATGTATGCATTTGTAATTGTATTATTTGTTGAGACAAAAACAAAAATATGAACCGTAACTATGGAGCTGGAGGAAGAGTCCGTATGTGTCCTCTGAAGATCATGACTGTCTGTATAAAATTTTATGGCAATCCATCCACTAGTGAATATGTTGGACCGTGTAAGTGACATTGCGAGTGCTGTGCTTCTAGCATAGATTAAAATATATGAGGTCAAATCAAACTTTTGACTCAATTATCCGTGATTTATCATGAGATATGACGTCTCAGTGTTGATGTAACAGCAAAGACCTCCACATTAAAACAATCAAACTTCACAATATTTTCAAATACATTTTAATCGAATGGCTAGTGTCTGATTATTAATACCCAAAACCCTGGTATGCACGGCTAACATGGCATTAATCCCACTGACTGTATGTATCTAAACTATAACAGTGTTGTTGGAGCAGCACAGTTAGTGTTGTAACACTCAGCTCTGCTCAGATAACTTTATCTTTTCTCCTCACAAATTGGCCTCCTCGCTCACAGATCATTTGTCTCAGCCACAGAAACCTAATCACACACACATGCGTGCACACACACACACACACACACACACACACACACATACACAACCCTGTACATCTTCCCTTGTGAGGACACTCATTGATATAATGCATTCCCCTGATCTACACCTTATTCTGACCTGAACATTACACCCAGTCTGAACCCTCAAACAGGCCTTTGAAAGTCCACGCTCTCCGAAAATCTCCTCACCTTCAAGGTCTAAAACTCAAATTGGTTCCCACAAAGATAGATATATAAGTACACACACACACACACATATGCACACTGTTCCTCTGGCTCCTGTGCACACCATATGGGCTGATCACACAGCTCAGGGGATTAACAGTAATTTGCCTGCATGGGAGCAGAGCTGTTTTCAGTGTTGTAACCAGGCACTCTCTGTGTTGACACTTTCATAGCTAATGACCATATCGTGAAACCGTGAAGGCCTCATGAAGGCTGAAGTCCACTTTACAGTGCGGCCGTGACATCACAGGAGTTTCGCCCACTGGGTACCTCACCATAAGGAATTACACCAAAGTCATGTCTTTGTCTTTAGATGTGATGTAATAAGAAAATTGTATTATCTATATTTATCTACTGACCACAGAACAAACTCCAATACCAACAATATAACTGTAGTGGTTTATCTATCTACCACTAAATAATATGAAATTAAATATAAAGCTAGATTATGGAAGTGGGAAAACAGCCTTGGATTTATAACTCACCAACACACTTATTCTATTTTTGGGATTAAATATTATTTGTAAAGGCTTTATTTATATGAAATGAATATGATTTATGAAACATTTTGATCTGTTTTCACTTTTTTTAACTTCTAAACTTGCCCTGTGCCAAAAAACTGCCTCAGTCCAGACAAGAATTCACAACTTTAAAAAATGTGTTAAAATCCTTAAAAACCTAAAACTTTACTGTTAAACTTTACTGTTATAATCATCTTTGTTTTAAAATATTCTTTTTAAATGAAAATGTTGGTCCTTTTTTTGTTAACACCGTCAGAGTTCTACAAAAGGAGCATTTAATCAGGCATAAAAGGGGCTAGCTATGTCCCAAGGACTCCTGTCTCACTTCCTGGTTTCCAAAAAATCGGGAATGCTGCTCAAATACTGGTGAGCTTCCTATTTTATGATCAGTTAATTAAATAATATTGCTATGGAGTGTGTCTCAACCATAACAGGTCATCTCTGTAGCCCTTCTAAATCAAAACTAAAAAAGAATCATGTTGGAAATATTAGTGTTTTGATTAGCATTAAGAGAACTTTTAATAACCTGAACCTGAAGTGTTTTTCCACTTCCTCCCACTGTTTAGAGGCTGTCCTCAACCTCAGCAGGCGATTGGTTGACATGAGAGGGTCGTCAGCTGATTAAGCTCACCTGGGCCCTTAAGCTACTAAAGCTGACTCATGCATACACTTTCCTTTTGGTTTGTCCTCTCACTGCCCCCATGGTGTGTTAACCATGCACTGCTGACATTGCTGATCTTTGGGTGAGTATAGCTGCACAGGTTTGTAGGAGCTGTGTTTCGCCTTTATAGAGTGAAGTGGTTGACCGACCAAATTTGTTGTTTTGCTTAGCGATGCTGATGCAAAGATCCTAATTTATGTCTTTGCTTCATGCACACTTCATTTTTGAAATGATTTGTTGTCAGGCCTGCAGTGTGTTAGACGAGTACCAAAAGTCTTGAAATGGTTCTTGAGGCCAAAACTAGAAAATCTGACTATTAAATCCATTTTAGCTTCCCTTCATCTGCCCCCTATCCATGTCAGGTCAGACTTTAAGGTGCTTCTGATGAATTTCAAAGATATAAATGGTCATGCCCCATTTTTGCCATTTCAGAATTAAAATGTCTACCAACGAGTAGGCCTATGTTATATCCTCCTGAGTCCCCGTGTCCTCATATGTGGACATCACATTTTGGGTTTGCTGCACTTTATACTTCATTCTGCTTAACTTAGATCTGTTGTCCTCGTTTGTGGACACTTTTTTTGTGCCATCTAGTGGCAGTAAGAGCACAATACACTAATCCATGTAAAAACAAGATGGCAGCCATCTCTGCCATCTTGTCCAAAACCTGATCACATTTTATTTATGATTAATAATGTTTGTAGTTTGATATGGCAACAAATTTGACCAATTTTAGCAACAGTAACAAGCTAAGACGCTGTTAATTAGGAAATACTACTACTGATCCCAAATAGCTAGGAAAAATTAGAAATGTATACCAAACAGAAGCTCAGGTCTCAGGAGGATGTATTTTGTTGAGCTGTGTACTTACATTATCCTAAATGTTTCCAGGACTCCAGAAGGAGAGCCAATGGCAGCTCCAGAGGTGGACCTGCAGTTGGCGGCTGTAGCAACTTGAAGGGACCACAGGGTGTGCTAGCTAGCAAAGACGGGCGAACACATTCCATGTTTATGCGCCCTCTAATTCATTGTTTTCAATGTAGACATGCAGCAGGTGCGCACAAATGCCAGAGTGACGATTTTCGCCATGTGGAAACATGTCAGATAGATTTTCATAAACAATGGTGGCTGTTTAATAATGACGACCCCAACTCCCATAATCCCACACTACTTCATGACCTCATCAAAGTCCACCTTTTGTTACTGTTTCTATTTAAAGACTCCTCTCTCCTAAGTTTGGGTGACTCATATCAGGTATTTGGAACATCTTCGTCCTCCAGGAGATCTCTTTCTCCTCTGAGTTCATGTTTTCTCTGTTCTCTGTCTCTCCCTCTGTGGGTTTGTGTCTTCATCTCCTCTCCACAGGTCTCCATGGTGGAGAGGGGGTCACGTGGCTCAAGTCCATCTGGAAGTTGATTGACATCATCCCGGATCCAATCTTCATACGGTAACTGTCTATCACTTTCACATCCTGATTGTCCAGACTGTAAATTTACTTTGTTGGTCTCCTCTGCACACACTATATATTGCATTACTGTCCTTCTGGATAAACAAAATTGTGAATAACCTACAGTTATAAATCAATATTATCATCAATGTCACTGTGCTTTTTTACCGACATGTTACTGCCCGAATCTTTAGTGGAATCTTTACAAGTTATATTTTACCTAGCCCTTCCCTTGTTTTATAACAGCTGTCACCAACTATGTTACACCATAGTCTCTAAAATATTGATTATAACAAATTAGAATTTTACCAATTGTTAAATATTAACTCACCATCAAATATTGGAGGTACCTACATGTTTTCTCACACTGATGGTTAAGAATTATTTTAGCTCCACTAATCAATTTTTAAATTAACCAGAACCAGGGGCATAAATATAGACAGTGTAAGATGTGTTCAGCGAAAAACAAGTGTTTGTCTGTGAATGCTGCGAGTTATAGTGAAGCCGATTTGTGTACTTGCAATTGAAAATGTCTCTATTAAGGCATGTTTAATGTGTGTTTTGAATCAACTAAACTTCACAGTAAACTTCACAGAAAACCCCACTGTCGACTAGTGTTTTGGAGGTGTAACTGCAGAGTGACATGAACACACCAACGCACAAGTATAAATGCTCACAATGGTGTAGGCGACATCCGTAGGTTGTGGTGTAGGCTCTGCATAGAGCTGGTGCACCAGTATAAATCCGCCTCTAGTACTAAGTGTTTGGTGTTTGCAACTGGGCAGACTCTCACAACAGTCCAGATGCAGAGCTCGCACTCCTGCAGCAGCAGCTACAACCCATACAGTCTGTGGTGTGTTGAAGTAGAGCGCATTGTATTTGATGGAGTTGGCAGTTCAGTGTGCTGAGATGCCACCAAAAGGTTAAAAGTATGGCAATACTACATGCCACTGCATTTACTTTATGAGTATTGAATTAAGTACTCTACTGGTACTTCTATCACTTTAAGGGTATTGGTACTGGTAGAGTAATTATTTGAAACAATACCTAGCCCTAGTCATAAGTAAGGCAAGAGGCCAATTAAAGAATGAGGTCCATCGTCATGGCTACATGACATTTTATGATTAACACCTAACCTAAGGGCACGTGTAACTATTATTACTTAGAGTTATGTTGTAACTTATCTCCATGGTGCAATCACTTTTATTTTAGTAATCCATAAAACACAACTTAGGAATAATTTACGTTATAACTATGTGAAGTTTGAACCAACACATTCTCACTCCGACCTCGTCACATATTGACATTTGGTCATGGACTTTTCACGTTGAGATATGACATGCAAGGTACCCTGGGTGTGTTGGTTGTTGACTTTCTGGGACGCCGTGTCAACTTCAGCCTGTTACATGCATTGTGTGTTTTTAAAATACACATATGTTTTCACAGGAAATATACAGTTTGCATACAGTCTCTTTCAAAATAAAAGCACTACGGTGGTACAACACCACTAATTGACATTTTTCCCTTCAACAACAAAAGCACGTGATTGGGTTTAGGACAAAAGAACAGGATTTGGCTAAGCAAACACCGGCCTCCTGGGTGACAATCGGTGGTTGTTGGACCCGTCCACCACCCTTCCCGCCCACCATACTAAGACTTTTACCCCCTTATCTTACATTGTTGCTCGGCTACGTTCCCCCCGGTGCTGCCAGGCGCCCTTACAGAATAACAACAACCGGCTGCGTGTCATGCTCACGTGACTTTTTATGTTGGTGTCTGTCACTGACCAAGCGCTGGTTTTTGACGACTTTGGAGTGAGATCAGGATTGTTTGAACTTACTCAGCGCCGGTGCAATAGGCTGCTAAAGTCGTGATTATACACATTAGAGGTCAATGTACTGTTGCACCTCTTTAACATTAGTCAGCATACATTATCAGGAAGATGCATTCAACTCCTGACTAATTCAGAGCAAAGCTATATTAAATTTTGACCACTACATTATTAGTAGCTCTACTGACAAGATTTTTACCAATACAATGACAACTGAGCAAACTCCATCTGTGATGAAAGTTCAGTAAAAGGCAGGAAAATTGCCCATAATTTAAGATTATTTTCCTTGTACTTCTATTTCCAATCACAAGAATGAACTTTTACACTTTATCAGCATTATGAAGTGCTGAGCTGAAACCAGTTTGTCTAAAATGAGATGGAAAGTTTCGTTATCATATGCTGCAAACACTCATTTAAGACAACGCACATCATATATACCGTAACATCATCACACTCATTATATGAACAAACAACTCAAGTTTGCAAGGAAGTAGCCTACTTATATAATGCACACCTGGACTTTCCCCACACAGCTTGAGCTACTGTTGCTTCATTACATCTTGTTTATAAAGATGTAATATTATGTCACAGACATCAGTCAAGAGAAAGATGGGAAACAGTTATTTATTAAATGTATAGAGTGATTTCAAAGCCTTTCCTCTGAATACAGGGAATACAGAATTTGGGTTCAAAAGCCCAGTTAATGATAAGAAAATAAACTACGTCTTTAAAAATGTCTGTATTAATTTACAAAGTTTCTTTTTTCTTTTTTTTGAGAAAGCAGACAATTTTTCTTAATCTTTAAAATCTAGTGACAATTTATTTTTATCTGAAACCTCAGGAGCTGCACAGGCTCCACAACTACCATCATAAAAAATAAAAAAAGTTATTATAAAATCTGGCTCGTTATTGTTAGCTACCCTAAATATTGAAATCCAAAAGACCACAATTATGACACAAAGTACATTCATTATTTTAAATCAAACACTCCATTAGTCAAGGACTGTCCATTCTATTTAAAAGTGCAGATTATTATTTTACTGCCATTAAAGACAACAACATGAAAATATATTAAAATACATTTTCTATCACAACCAAAAGTTTTTTGATCAACTAAAGATTACTACTGGATTCTCAGCCAGACAATCAAAATAACAGAGCAAAGTTCAAATTAACTTTTCTGTCTTCCTCTGGGCCCATATCATCATCATATCATAGCCACTGTCATATTCTGATTTGAGCCTTTCAGACAAAAGGACATTTTATTGTCCAGTTAACAGCATCGGGATGAAATGTTTTAGTTTACAATCCATAACCATTTACATTTTTGTTTGCCAATAACTGGTCTCAGATCTTCCCCATGTACTTCAGCCCACCAAAGATACCACCACCTGAAAACAGAGAGAATAGATGCTTTTTAATGATCAGTTTAAACCTGCTTGCTTGTGTTCCTGTGTTACACACTCAAAATGTGATTAGAATTACAACCCCAATTTCAAAGAAGTTTGGACGCTGTGCAGGGTTGTAGCACCATATTCTTGGCCCCATGGGTAAGCAGTCTCTGTGGAACGCCCTTCCTGTCATGATCCATGTCTCTTTCCCTTTCCTTTCTTTCTTTCTTTCTTTTCTTTTTTGGAGCCCTTATTTCCCTTTCATGGGTGAAAGACTCGAGCAGCATAAGCAGTCACTTACACGGCTTCAGCTGAGTTTAGAGACAAATCCTAGTGCAGGGGCGCACGATACATTTTGCACCTTTAAAGCCCCTACAAGGAACTTTCATTTTGAGTTGATTTTGGCGACCCTGTGGACAAAAGCGGTAGTGTTTTGCCGGAATGAAGGCTACATTTCCCATGAGCTCTAGCGTGTATTGCGCCTATTTATAATAGTCACTATTTCATTTCACTACTAGTCAAATGTAAGCAGCTAGGTAAGATGACGTGTGCCGTCTGAGTGCCGTAAATCGTTTCGTCCTGGAAGCGACCTGGTGCGGACCTGGACACAGTTTCCTAAAGGTATGGATATACACTATATAGAAATAGCTTATCTTCACACTGATGACATCAGCAGAAACGAGAGACTTTTGCATATCCAGTTAAAAGTTCCTTGTAGTGGCTTTAAGGGATGAGAGGAGCCTCAGAAAGCTATCACTATGTTTTTTATACAAAGTTCGGTCTTTCAACCAATCTATTTGGCCAGTTTTAATCTATTAATCCATTTTTATCTGCTTATTCGAAGCTGGGTCATGGCGAAGCAAGCTGAGCAAAGCAACCCAGACGTCCCTCTCCCCAGCAACGCTTTCCACCTCCTCCTGGGGGATCCCAAGGCGTTCCCAGACCAGATGAGATATATAAAATCACTCAAGCATTTTCTGGGTTTGCCCCGGGGCCTCCTACCAGTGGGACGTGCTTGGGACATCTCTAACAGGATGCGCAGAGGGGGCATCCTAAACAAATGCCCAAACCACCTCAACTGACCCCTTTTGATGCGAAGAAGCAGCGGCTCTACTCCGAGCTCCCTCTGGATGTCCGAGCTCCTCACCTTATCTCTAAGGCTGAGCCCAGCCACATATACAGAGGAACTTATTTTGGCTGTTTCTTTTCGTGATGTCATTCTTTCTATCACCACCCAAAGCTCATGACCATAGGTGAGCGTTGGGACATGGATGGACCAGTAAATTGAAAGCTTCAGCTTCAGGCTCAGCTCCCTCTTCACCGCGATGGTCCAGTGCAGTGCTTGCATCAATGCACCAAACCGTTGATCCATCTCACGCTCTGACGGGTTGTAGTATCTAACACTTAACAATACAGTAGGAAGTCAAAACCTACCTACTGTCTCATAGTTTTGACTTAGCTATCTCAATTATGATTTAGCATCTTATAACTTTGACTGAGAAGGTCAACTGTCTGATTTAGTACCTCCTCATAATTTTGAATTACTATAGATCCATAGATCTGAAACCTTAAGTGATAGAACTAATTGTAGTTGTAGTTGTAGACCTACAACCCCAGTTGCATGTGTATGTCCAGATCGGTTGATTCGAACGGGGAAATCTGTATTGATTCAGATTCTAAGAATCAGCAAGTGTCAAGGAAACATATCTTTTCCCTGTATTGTTTAATATCAAATCCCCATTATTCTGTTGTACTCACCAACAGCAGCCACCCCAGCGATAGAGCCAATGGCAATTCCGGCTATAGCGCCAGATGTAAGCCCTTCTCCCTCTCCACCCACAGAAGGTGTGGATTTAGTGGGAGCTAAAGTGGTTTTCGTAGTAGTGGCGGTTGATCCAGTTCCGGCAGCTGTGGTTGTTCCAGTTCCGGCAGCTGTGGTTGTTCCAGTTCCGGCAGCTGTGGTTGTTCCAGTTCCGGCAGCTGTGGTCGATCCAGTTCCGGCAGCTGTAGTCGATCCAGTTCCGGCAGCTGTGGTTGTTCCAGTTCCAGCTGTGGTAGTGGTGCCTGGGCCAGGTGTGGGTTTGGCAGTTTTTGGTGTGACTGACTGTGCTACACACAGGACTGCTGTGTTAATAAAAGCACATAAATAGAAAAGGGTTGAAGGAGAGCCAGTAAAATGGTTGCCACATCATAATGAATATGTTTTTTCAACCCTTTGAAATCCGCAATAGAAACAGTGTGCATGTGCCTACATTAGTTTTTTTTTTCTTATTTTGATGTCATTTCTTAGAGTATCTTCAAATGCTTCAGATCTCTAAAATCTGTACAACGTAAGCTAAGGACTTAGGTTGTACAACAAGGCACAGGCCCGGGATCCCAAAGCATCAGGGGCCCCATCGGCCTTCACCTGCAAAATGTGACTCAAATTAAAACATACCAGGAAGAGGCTCAAAATCAGTGTTAATTCTGTTGACGAAAACTATGACAAAAAATTTTCATCAATGACCTTTTTTCCATGACGAAAATGAGATGATGACAAGTTAAAATAGATCTTAATAACAAAAACTACGACGAAATCTATGTTTCATTTTCCTTGACGAGATGTGCCAAAAATATTGGTATTGGACCATCTGACACTGAAAGCCGATAACAGCTGTGCTTGCGATTGTCTCAAATGCTACATGAGAGACAGGCTGGTAAACTCCTGTAAATATTCTGCGCCAGGATCTTTCTCTAGCCAGGAAACACTCACACCAGAGCATCATCAGTTGGTGTGAGTTGTGAGCTGTAATTCAGCAGTATATAATCAGTTGTGTGTCCGACTGTGGATGGTGGAGCGGTTAAATGCATTTGTGAAGTTTGTTGGCTGCAGCGGTGGCTGTTAGCAGCTAGCACCACACGTTAGCCGCTGAATGGCAATGAAAGGAGCAAACAGAGAGTTTAAACCTCCAGACTAACATGTTGCAGAAGTTATTTCTCTGCTTCTTAACAGTGAGATGGATAAGTCAGAGTTTACAATGAACCTGGGTACAAATCATAGTTGTCTCAGATTAGTTATTTGTGGTGTCAAAGAATTTGAAAATGCTGCCTGCCTACTTTTGTTTATACAGAATGCGCCTTTATTGGTGCAATGGGGGGCGTGGGCAAGTAACAAAACGTGTAGCTCAGCGTGTGACATAAACAGTGACGTGGGAGGGAAGCCACAGCTAGTCAGTCCTTCAGCGATTCTCTCGTAAGTCGGCCCGTCATCTGACAGTTAATGGCCTCTTCATTTGCGAGGGCAAGGAGGGCGCGCAATTCTTTGTCTCCCCAGTTGCTCATCTTTACAGTGTCTGTCAGGTTTGCGTTTCCCTCTTGCTACTAGCTGCTCTCTTATTCCTGCTATCAGCTGTTTCCTGCTTATCCACCTCCAGTGGGTCGCACGTGCAGCATCATCAACAGCTCCTCCCACAAGTCATCAACAGCCCCTCCCATTGCGGAAGGCCGACGCATTCTGTTTAAACCAAAAAGGTTCCGCCAATATGACTACCCTACAAGGCGGGAAATGGGGCACCTCGGATCAACTCGCCAATCTGGCTCTGTGTCTAAACGCTCGCAGCTTGCCGGCAAAACGGCCCAACATTCGCCAAAAATCTGGCAGTGTAAAAGGGGCTCTTGAGTCTAATTTCTGATACATGAATTAGCCTCATTGGATTAGTTTAAAGATAAACAAACATATAGAAAACATCATGACTAAAAGTTGACATAGGCCTTTATCACACAGAAAGCGTTTTAGCAGCTGGAGACATTGAAAAAACTTCAACTCAAAGCAGATAAATGCCCCATGTCATCTCTTTTTTTTGTTGTCTTGTTACCCATTGTCCATTCGGATGATTTGAGAGGCGGGCCTTCTGTGGTGGTCACGACAACAAGTTTCCGGTTGGTAAACGATGGTAGAGAAACTGGTGGTCGCGGTTGCTGGATACCCAGAGCTATATCGGCCCGACGATATACAGCAGGTTGTCAAACTGGACACGGGCAGGTTAGAATAAAGAGGTGAGTCCATGTCTGGCAACAGTTAAAAGGCGCAGTTGTTTTTTTTACCAGTGGCATTCAATTAAAAAAAGGCAGTGCAGCATGTGATGTGTAATCAGGGCCTAAAATGTCATAAATTTTCATAGCCATAAAGGTTTGGAATTTTCCTCAACTAAAACTAGATTTAAACTCTGAAGGATAAAAATTACTTAAATGTGACCAAAACTAATAAGGATTTTTGTCTCAAGACTAAATATAAAACAGCTGTCAAGAGTAACACTGCATAAAAAAACCCACAAAGAGACACAAAACAACCACAAGGAGACACAGAACCACAACTATGTATTAAAGGTGGTGGGGCCTTTTGTATATCTGTGCCCAGGGGCCCATTGTTTTATAATCAGCCCATGGTAGCAACTATACACAAGCACTGATTTCATCTTAGCTTTTATTTTAAAAAAATCTTACCACAGATTTTATGTGCTGCTTTATCAACATCTATAAAATGTATTAATGTAAAGTGTTTTAATTACCACGTGGGAACAACATATTTTATATTATTAATGGGTACAATGTCAAAGCTAATAAACCTGATCTTTGAAGCAACGGTGCCATTAAAACAGCTTGACAATGACTGTGACCACCTTTAACAAACACTATTAACATTTATTACCCTGAAGCGATGGCCTCTATCAACCTTCGTCTTCTGTCACCAGCTTGTCTTTCTTCTCCGGCTGTGTTGAATTATAACGCCAGGTTATAAAGAAATATATTCACTTTCACAGTGAACAAAAGTAAGTCAGCTTACTGTGATCATGAAATATTGTTAAAATGTGTGGCATGTTGTGTAATTTCTTTTCATTACATTCCTACAGTTATTTATTACATTCCTCTGCCAACGCTATTAAATGGATGACTCATCAAATGAAAGGTTAGCTAATGGTTAAGCCATACAGCAGCTTTTGTATTTCTCACGCCAATAAAAAGTTTTTAATTTCATCGTCAACAAAGAAAGCTCTTTGTCATATCACAGGCATTAAAAATGAGTTAAGAAATGTAAAGGTGCACATGTCCAACGTCCATTAACGTCCATTCCCTCCGCCACACATTTATTTTCCACTTCCTCCTCACAGTTTATTATACGTCACATTTTTCCACTGTGGAATATCTTGCTGATTTTTACGACATTTAAGGACAACGTCACTTGAAACGACTAAAGAAGATGTCAGCATCAACCGTCGGCTGATATCTTGTGACTGTTTTGTATGTAGAGATCACAGTAATCTCACTTGTGCTCCTTTAAAGGTCGAGTGCAGGCGGCTCTGAAGCCACATGAGGCTCTTCAGCGTCTCTCCAGTGGCTCCCTGTGTTTTTGACCCCTCCTGCCTACCCTACTTGGACTTTCACCACCTCAACTTTTGTTCCTGTCCTGCTGCATTTCTCCCTGTTAAACTATGATGGCGACCGACCACATATCATGCTGACATTAAAGGACGGCTTTTTCTGTCCGGGTTGGTTAAAAATTGATCAGCAGGTGGCACCTCGTATGGAAGCCACGGCCACTAGTGTATGAATGTGTGTGTGAATGGGTGAATGTGACATATAGTGTGACACCGCTTTGAGTAGTCAAACAACTGAAAAGGCGCTGTACAAGTGCAGATCCATTTACCATCACCTAAAGAAATTCTTATGTTCTCCAACTATAAAAATGTGTAGGTTATGCACCAAATTAAAAAAGCAGCAAGTTTTAACTAGGGATGAGTGAGTACACCATTATCTGTTTATGTTCAACCAACTAAATTATCTGTATCTGTACTCAGAATGGGCGGAGTTTATGCCAGAAGTGCGTGGATTTTAAAACAAAAGTGAGTTGGGCCTAATCAGAAGTTGTAATTTAGATGGATTGATCAGAAGTTGCAATATTTATTACCTATGAGAAAAGTATTTACAAAATAGCCTCAACAACTGAGCTTCAGATCATTTTTATCACAAATGTAACGGATTAAACACAGCTACCAAAATTAGGATTTTCCTTTATCACAAGTACATATAATACTCGTGAAAGTACATTATCTGTACCAGATACTCGTTTTATTCGCGTATTCGGCTCAGCCCTTGTTTTAACATTCCTTCGACTAAGATGTAAAATGTCATACGTCAACAGCCTGGTTCTTTTTCCTCTAAATTTCCTAATTTTCTAATTTCCTCAGTAGCATTGGCAACAGCAGTCTATAGGATCACTAGCAAGTCTTGCTAAAGTCTCGAAGGAAAAACAGAATTAAATAGTACATGGAGAGTTTTTTTTTCTTTCACCACCAACGCTGCAAAGTTAAAGTACCAAATATTCATAAATAGCCCACTGTAGAGGAGCCACCCTGTGATAAGACATGTTCATGAATGCTCATTTAGACCTGTTATTACTGTTGATAGGCTACTTTACTTAACAGGCTGTGTTAAGGCTCAAATTTGTTTGCAGCAAATGGTTCCAGTGATAGTGAATGTAGCTAGCCCCTGGTCTAGTGTGTAGGATTTAGTGACATCTAGTGGTGGTTGAAGAACTGAAACTTCTCAGGTGTGCCAAGCATGTAGGAGAACTATGGTGGACGACGTGAAAATGCAAATGGTCCTAACTAGAGCTGGTGTTTGGTTTGGCAGACTCCATGGAAGAGGACCTGCTTTCTATGTAGATATAAATAGCTCGTTCTTAAGTAAAAAATCCACAACAATTCCTATTTTTACAGCCTCGTTTTCAAACTGTATGGTTTGACTAAAATGAACAATGACAGCAATATAGTCCACAATGAGCAGCGCCAAAATCAACCTGCGTAGTTGTCCCTCCATTGTGGCATTAGAAAGTGTCACATTTATGTTGCAGCAACTTGGCAATAAATCTGTTCTTGATAGTTCCTAGTAACTGACCTACATACCTACCATTAATTAATAACTAAATTAAAGCCATTAAACAATAACTGTCTATAAAATCTCTTTGTAAAGGAACCCTTATTAGAATGTGATGGCAAGAGTTCTGTAAAGAGTCTGTATAGTAAATATGGATATTATTTTTACCTGTGCCCAGAAGGCAAAGAGTCAGGACAGGAAGATTCAGCTGCATCGTCTCAGAGTGTCAGTCCCACAAAAACAGGGAATAAATCAGTGTCTGGAAAGCACAAACATAGTGTTAATACCTATCCAAGCACACGTATAATATGTTCTGGCACCTATCTGCGACATTAGACCTTATCAAACCTTTCTGGGTCACAAACAGGAAATTTAGTCTTAGCCTGTTATTAATTTTACCCACCTCTGTGCTGAAAAAGACAAACTTAGCAGCAAGTAAAATCAACGTGAACTCACTTTGTTGAACTTTTAACTTGCCGAATAGAGTTTACAACCCCATTTTAGGCAGACCCAAATTTATAATTTTTCACATTTTTCACATAAATGATTCTTACCATGCAGGATGAATAAAATCTGGTACAAAGATAGTTGTATATTTATATTTTTATCTGTGCTGCCTGAAATTTTTTATGTAAAACTCCAGATTTTTTCTAACAGATCTGAGAGAACTTAATGAGGAAAGCTGTGTTACTCACCTGAGAGTCTGTCAATATGACTTTCATCTGTTCCCGTAAGACCAGAGAATATTCTTTTATGACCCCTTTATCACTCCAGCCCATCATCTCCAGCCCTCCCATCTTTATATGTGTGCGTGTGTTGTAATACATCACCACAGCTCAGCCATAAGGCCCGTATTGATTTTAATGTTTATTAATGCTTACCGCAGGGCTATATTTGTTTTTTATGGCTCAATCACTACTGCCATTGGTTGAGGAAGTACATATCGGCTCCCTGTAATGCGTAAGTGGAGCTGGGAGTGTCGGAGGATGAAGCAAGAGTAGCAGCCTGACAGCAGGCTAAACTGCGAGTGAATATGTGCCATGTGGAAGATTTGACTACTCCACTTCAACTTCGGCAGCCATGTCTTTAACAGGAAGATAAATCATTTATAAAAAAGCAGAGTTGTGGACTGGAGTCACAAATTTGATGACTTTAGACCTAATTTGACAAATTTGATAAAGACGTATAACACGACTTGGACTTTGACACCAATGATGTGTGGTTTCTCGTGGACTTGAGCCTTCTGACCTGATACATTTCCCCCAGGCTCAAAGATGAGCAAGTCGACATTTGATTCTCCATCTCCATTTTGTTTGAAGTTATCCATAAGCATCCACTGAAGTCACGGGAGAAAACACAGCCCCTTCTAATTCCCAACTCATCAAATACCACTGCTTCCTCAGTGATTTCGGCATCTGACACCAACGCACAATGGCACCTTTTGTGGTGGTATGATAGGCTGCCAGGCGGTGTCAGTTTCTAACCAGTGGTGTGGTGATTGATGGGCTTGGTGTACCGCTAGGTAGATTGTTTGGTTACTAAAGAGGAAGTGGGTATACCCTTCTATATATTCGAATGCCTGTGTACTTGAAATGCAGCCACAACATGATAGAAGGAGCTACAAAGTCTTAAGAGGGCGGGCTGGAGAGGAGGTGGATGGGTCTAACAAACCTGGGACTTTCACTCGAGATCCCATCTTTCACTCCCCCTATGATTGTAAAGCTAATCCATGATGGTTTTTTTTTCTAACCACATGCTTTTGTTGCACAAGGAAATAAATGTAAATACGAGGTGTTTCGCCGATGTTGTAAGTTTGTTTACAAGCAGAAACTTTACATTTCTTGTTACACAAACAGGTCGAAAATTACAGATGGTAACAACTTCCGACAAACTTGTCTTAATAAATAAATACAAAATTAACAAAGACAAAACATAATGAGTTAGGACTTAGGACACAAAACTCAAAGTTTAGGACTTGCATGCAAAGGCTTGAGACTTGTCACGTGCAAAACAATGACTTAGTCCCACCTCTGGAAAAAAAGCTCTCTGTATCTTAGTGGCAACCCATCCTGATTATGTCAGGTATGACGGTGATATGGCACAAACATCAAACTGAGTCTATCTTCATAAGTAAAATGACAGCATTGTTCACTTGCCCAAAATGTTTTCCATTGTCCCGTATGAATTATGACGTTTTTGTCTCAGAAGCAAAAGCAGAAGTGGCACGACATTGTAAACCCTTCTGAATAAAGTTGGAGTGGATGGTTGGCTCAGCAAAGCTTGTGATTTTATGACAAAGGAGACATTGGTTTCACTTAACAATGACCATCTTTGTTCAGCCTTCACCAAAAAGGCCTAGTTTTTGTGCCTAAACTGAACCAAACTCTTACCATAGTGGCAACAGATCAGAAAACATGCCATGAAACATGTATAGCAACACACTATAGACACTAATACACTCAGATACAAGGCCTCAGGTTATAGATACACTTACAGGGTGAATAGCTCTCCTCTTGCAGTGGCTTCCTTAAGCTTGTCCCTGAGCCAGCAGCACGAGCTAAACTAGCCAGCTAGCATCAGTAGCTGGAGCAATAAAGATTGATCCAACAGGCAGCCTTGCAGAACAAGCTCACTGTCTGAAAGTCCCTCAGTTTGCTCTGCTTGGTGAGCTGCGCAGCAGACTGTAGCTGAAAACACACGGTCACCACAGCACAGCAGCATGTCATTTACATGGATACGGTGTGGAGGAACCATAGCTGCCAGTTCTTCCCAGTGACCAACCTGCAACAAAAACAGTCCCCTGCAGCCCAGATTTTCCCCACTGATGGATACAAGACACTGTTGGCATGGATGTGTAAACTGTATTTTAACACAGTTTGCAGACGGTACACGTGGTGGGGCTCAAGGCCCTGGGAACATTGCCTGGCTTTGAAGCCAATTTCATATACAGTGCCCTCCAAAAGTATTGGAACAGTGAGGCCAATTCCTTCATTTTTGTTGTAGACTGAAAATATTTGGGTTTGACATCAAAAGATGAATATGAGACAAGAGATCAACATTTCAGCTTTTATTTCCAGGTATTTACATCTGGATCTGATACACAACTTAGAAGATAGCACCTTTTTTTTGAACCCACCCATTTTTCATGAGAGCAAAAGTACTGGAACATGTGACTGACAGGTGTGTTTTGTTGCCCAGGTGTCTCCCAGTTACATTAATTATTCAAACAATAAATAGCACTGGATGTCTGAGCTCAGTTTCAGATTGGGTACGATAGGTTTTGCCTGTGCAGACTGCATTTAGAGGTGGAACCAACATGAAAACCAGAGAGCTGTCTATGGGTGAAAAAGAAGCAATTGTGAATCTGAGAGAAGATGGACAATCAATCAGAGCCATTGCACAAACATTGTCCATAGCCAGTACAACCATTTGGAATGTCCTGAAGAAGAAAGAAACCACTGGTGTACTAAGCAACAGACGTCGAACAGGTAGACCAAGGAAAACATCAGCAGTTGATGACAGAAACATTGTGAGAGCTGTAAAGAAAGACCCTAAAACAACTGTTAGTGACATCAACAACAACCTCCAGAGGGCAGGAGTGAAGGTATCACAATCTACTGTTCGCACAAAACTTCATGAACAAAAGTACAGAGGCTACACCAGATGATGCAAACCACTCATTAGCAAGAAGAATAGGAAGACCAGGCTGGAATTTGCCAAAAGGTACAGAGATGAGCCTCAAAAATTCTGGGAAAAAGTTTTATGGACTGATGAGACAAAGATTAACTTTTTCCAAAGTGACGGAAAGGCGAAAGTTTGGAGAAAGAAAGGATCTGCTCATGATCCCAAACATACAAGCTCATCTGTGAAACACGGTGGAGGTAATGTCATGGCTTGGGCTTGCATGGCTTCTTCTGGGACGGGCTCTTTCATCTTCATTGATGATGTAACACATGATGGCAGCAGCAAAATTAACTCAGAAGTCTACAGAAACATTTTGTCTGCTAATTTAAAGAAAGATGCAACCAAACTGATTGGGAGATCCTTCATCATGCAGCAAGATAACGACCCAAAACACACTGCCAAAACAACAAAGGAGTTCATCAGGGGCAAGAAGTGGAAGGTTTTAGACTGGCCAAGTCAGTCTCCAGACTTAAACCCAATAGAGCATGCATTTTACCTGCTGAAGAGGAGACTGAAGGGAGTAACCCCCCAAAACAAACAACAACTGAAAGAGGCTGCGGTGAAAGCCTGGAAAAGCATCACAAAAGAAGAATGCAAAAGTTTGGTGATGTCAATGGGTCACAGGCTTGATGCAGTTATTGAAAGCAAAGGATTTGCAACTAAATATTAAGTCTCATTCACTTTAATCTATTTTAAGTTTATATGTTCCAATACTTTTGCTCACCTAAAAATTTTGTGTTCCATTACAAATAATGCTATCTTCTAAGTTGTGTATCAGATGCAGATGTAAATACCTGGAAATAAAAGCTGAAATGTTGATCTCTTGTCTCATATTCATCTTTTGATGTCAAACCCAAATGTTTTCAGTCTACAACAAAAGTAAACGAATTGGACTCACTGTTCCAATACTTTTGGAGGGCACTGTATTTGTCAAACGTGGATTTACAAAATGTGGGGTGCATCATGTGATGCCAGGGGGCCCAAAACGCTCTTCCCACTGACTTACATTGTGCTCACATTGCTGGGTGAGCAAGTTACATTTGAGTTAAATTATTGCCAAGAATCAGATGAGAGTAAAAACACCACTCTAATGTCTACCATGAGCAGCTAGTTAGCGTAGCTTAGCTCAATGAAAGTGAGAGCATTTGCCAAGAATCTTTTCATTAATCAAGAACGAAAGTTGAAGTTTGAAGACGATCAGATAGTGTCATAGTTCTGACCGTAAACAATTCCAGCTAGCGATCTGGTGGCTTCATTCATATGGCCCGTCGGGTAGCGTCGGGGAAACCAAAGTCTTTGGGTTCCGGGGGGAGTATGGTTTCAAAGCTCAAAGTTAAAGGAATTGATGGAAGGGCACCACCAGGATTGGAGTCTGCAGTTTAATTTGACTCATCCAGCCCGGACACGGAAAGGATTGACAGATTGATAGCTCTTTCTCGATTCTGTGGGTGGTGGTGTATGGCCGTTCTTAGTTGTTGGAGTGATTGTATGGGTAATTTACATTTACATTTCCCGTGTAAACGGAAGTGTATCTTGAAAGAAAACAACTTGTCACGGTGTCCCAGAACATCAACAACCAACGCATCGAGGGTACATGGCCAATATGTGCCGAGGTTGGAGTGAGAATGTGTTGGTATGGGCCCAAAATGGGCATCTAATCTGGGGCCCACTTGGGTAAACCCACCCCTGTGGGCAGTTGGCATAGGGCCAATGTGGAACCTGTGCACAATCCTATATAAGGCCCATTTTTCCATCCATTTACTACCCATGTGGGCCCTATGTGCAGATGTTGGCTGGATGCTTCTGTGAGGTGCCAATCCTGGAAAATTAAATTGTATTCAAGCAACTAACATGCCTGTAGACAATCTGAAATAATTAAATACAAGAAAGCAAAACAAATACAACAATGTTTGTGTTGTGACAGATTTCAGTTTTGATCCACAGTACCAAAACACTATCTCACAAAATCCGTATTTTCTTTTAGGTTCAGATGGAAAAACCACCGCATGATGATCCGTCATGATTGGATTGGACTGTAATCATCGAGCACATCAGAAATGTACTGGGGAGCCAAACCATTAAGTGCTTCAAAGACTATTAGTAGAATTTTTAAATTGTTTCTGTATAGCACTGGGAGCCACTGAAGTGAGTTAAGTACTGGAGTAATACAGCATGTTTGACTTGAGCTGAAGCCTTGTGATTGCTTTGTTGTTGTTGTTGTTGTTGTTGTTGTTGTTTCCAGCAAACAATCCAGCAAAAAAGAACTACAGCTGTCTAACCTTGAGATAAATACTCAACTACTCCCCCCCTTTGAATCTTCTTTGGGTGTTACCTTTAACTAATATAATCATGTCCTAGATATTCAGTTCAGTTCAGTAGAATTTACAAGCTTGTTTATAGGACCGAGATAACCCAATGAGGAAGAGATGTGTGTCGTCAATGTGTCATCAAAATATAAATGATAAGCTGTATTATATTTACTTTTGATAATGTTGCCAAGTGGAAGCATGCATAAAAAATACACAGCAGCTACCGTCTTGCTCTGGTGACATTATTCGGAGCCAGAGATCTCCTTGGTATCAAGTTTCCTGCCCATACACCCATCCAACCAATGGCAAGCAGCTCCACTGTATGTGAGCACACCAACTGGCTCACACAGTTGTCAATCATGTTGTAAAATTCATATTTTATAGCATAAAATAACTAATTATAACCAAACTTATCAGAAAAACTAACACTTGAACATACAGCAGTGTGATTAAAAAATACTTTAAATTACAGAAACCTTTGAAAATCTTTGGGAAAAATGTATTAGAGTTTTTAGATTGGACATGAGAGAGTGCGCTTTATGAGCTATACTGCCATCAGGAAACAATACAAATGTTATGGCTTCACTTTTGGGGAGCTGTCATGTTGTCCAATTTTATATACAGTCTATAGTTTTGACAAGAAAGAAGATAGAATAAAAAAACCTGATACCTCTGGTTCTGTTGTCTGATGACATTATAGAAGAACGATGCCAAAGTGGCGGAGTATGTTTTTAAGTTATGTTTTTCTGTCACTGGTGTTCTGAGTCCCGCGCAGTGTTGGGTTTCCACAACAAACGCACTTTGGTTAAGATTAGGGAAAGGTTGTGGTTTCGGTAAATGTTAAAAAAAAAAAAGTACACGTCGTGTCTCATGCTTTAAAAGAATTGACAAAACGTATTTGATTTTCTTTCATTCATAGTACATAGAATGAAGATGAAATGAAGCCAACATGCAAGTGCCAAAACCTGCAGTTCATTAGATGGCCACTTGAGGCTGGCTCCATAACCGAGTCAATCCCCATAGACCCCCATGTTAAAATGCCCAGCTTAACAGCAGAAATAAACATGTTCACAACCTGGAACAAAAAACAGTTTTGGTCCCTAGAGCTAATTCCACGTTCATGACAACTGTACAGGGGCTGAATTTTTATTTAACTATCCTGTTTAAATGTTATCAAGGCTGAAAGTCTCTCTTAATTTACAGTGTGGGTTTTAGTGACGGGCTGTCTGCAAAGCTTCACCACAGTCTATAAATCAGATCCACCCCTCGCTCCTCCACAGCTCCATCCTCTCCTCCAAATTTGGTCACTTCGAGCTCCAATAATCCAAGATGGTGATGACCAAAATGGTAAACTCAAGGCTTCAAAACATAAGTACACAAACCAATGGGTAGCTACATCCATTATTTTGATATAGTCTGTGATCTTAACCCAACTAGCACACGTCAAACACACTGTGTAATATCATAAACTGTAATGAAAATAACAGGACAGCTGTCTTGATATTTCTGCTATACTGCTGGTGTGTTTTGGAACAGAATGATTCAACTGAGACACACAACTCAGTGAGAATAGGCACCCTCCAGAGATGATAAACACTGCACTGGGACATAGCAACTAATTGTGTTCTACATGACATTCTGCAACTTGATGGGAAGTTGTACTTTGAAAAGTGATAAATGCGAACAGGAACAAGAGAAATGTTTACTCGCTGTTTCTGCAACCTGACCCTAATACTTGATTAAGTTTGGCAGCATGAAAGATTGCTTTTTATTAGTCAATAATAACTTTTCCTTCTAGACTGGCCTCGCATGCACAGTCTAAGTAGCAATGGTGAAGTGGTTTGACACTGGGAAGCGTGTGTAGCTAATAACTGATATCACACTGGGTTTTTATAGGTTTACTAGTGTTTATGTCGGGGCACTAAGTTTTATTTTGGTTTCTCGTACCTGCTTTTATGGTATTATTTGGTCCAGAGGACAGAATCCACCAAGCATAGAGTCCACATATTTGTACCTGGCCCAGTTTGTCTTCTAAAATGTTTTTAGTGTCTGGCCTGATTCTGACTGAATGACACATGTACACATTGATTTCCTTTGGTGAATCTATCAGTTTTGATGACCTAAGATGGCATGTGGTATTCTGAGATCATACAGGGTTGAAAGATTCAGAGAGTTTAATGACCATACCTACGAATCCTATAAAGTAGTAAGGACATTCACCATAACAATCAAATAGACTTCAAAGAGAAACTGAACTCTAGCTCACATAGGGTGTGATTCCATGTTTCTTTACTCATAAACTCGTTCTCAACTACTGGAGATCCAGCAGATTCATGTCTACTTACTTAGGATTGTGTTCCTTATTCCAGTCACTATGGCATGGCAGCTTAAGTGCTCGCTGCAAGGACAACAGAACATTTGATGAGTTACAGTTGCACTTTTACACGTTTAATCAGCTAAAGTTGTTGAGAATGTCAGAAAAGCCTTGATCTTAGGTATCTCTGTGCTCTGATGACCCTGGATTCACTCACGCAACATTCACTGCTCTCTGTGTTTTCAGGAGAAATGAAACTTTGGCGTGCTCTCATAATGGTTACAGTGGCAATAAGGAAACTCAAAGAATATTCAGATGATTACAGCTTATCTGAAGTCACGGATGCACTCTGTGAGTCATGGAAATTTCCAGAGCTTCAGGGTGGATGTTAGAAACGAAGACATCTCGAGACTTAAATACTGACTTCCTGAAGCCATAACTTGGTCATGTTGCTGTTCATTATGGAAATATGTGTTGTGAGCCAAGAGATTTGTCAGCTGTACTTTATAATTGCCCAATTTAGCTTCATTTAACTTTACCAATTAAGTTGCATTATGAATTTACTGTGTGAGATAAGGGTATGACTTTTTAGTTTTGGACTGTTGCTTAGACAAATCAAGCTGTCGGAAGACTCTAGACTTTAGGAAATTGTCACAGGTGTTTATTGACATTTTATACAGAGGACAACAAGGATTAATTGATTTATAATAAAATAAGGCCTTGATAAAATACTCAACAAGTGGATGATGATATTGCTCTGGTCCAGTGTATAAGATTTAGGGTGGGGCAGCAGTGAGGATTACAACCAGCTGAAACTTCTCCCAGCTAAAAGTCCTTCAGTGTTCATTGCTGAGGAGGTTTTTCCTGGGAGCTGAATTATCCACAGAAGTCTCTTCCTCTCCAAAACAAACAGACCTGATTAAGACCAGCACCTGCTAATCTGTGCTTATTTTTTTCCTCTGATAAACTTAAGTTCCAGAGACTGGTTGCACAAAACACCAAGTTTTCTCCCTAAGTATGACACGTAAGGCTTAATTTCTCCTTAGCTGAGGGACTTAAACAGTTGCACAGAATCTCTTAAAAGGTTTCCTAAGTTAAGGAAAAATGTTAACTCATTTACTGCATTGAAAGAGACTTTACAGCGCTAAAAGTTTCCATGGAGATTGTTTGTTTCCTTGGATTCACGTTTGTGACGCCTGTTATCATCTCACAAAGTTGGCTTCTAGTTTGACAGTGAAAAAAATAGCAGGAGAAGACAAGAAAACCATATTGGTCAGAGGAGGAAGAGTTTGAAAGATTATACTTCTAGGGGAAAACAATCATAGAGAGCACAAACTTCAAAATAACTTTGATTCTCAAATACCAGAAAACATAAAATGATTGTAGGAAGAAATTGCAACAAAAATTAATTCAGTCAAATCTAAAGTGTAAAATCAAAAGCGTATCCATTGGTTTCTCCTGGTTGCAGAACACTCTTCCTGGGGTGTGTTAGTTTTTTCCATTTATCATCATAAACAGTTGCAGTTAAGATAGTCAGAGGTTCCTTATGTTGTTGTTTTTTACCTTGCTTTGGTTGCTAAGATCTTTTGTACAATGGTCCGTGGATTCCTTAAGTATAAGACCAAGACAAGAAGAAAATCATAAATACTTAAGAGAACATTTTAAGGAGAAAACTTAAGGATGTTTTGTGCAACTGATTTTACTTTGAAACCTGAACCAGGACTTCAAGGACATCTTAACTTAAGGTGTTTTGTGCAACAGGACCCCTGACACTGTGGAGGTTTTCACCGGGAGCCAAATTATCTACACAAATCTCTTCCTCTCCACACAAATGGAACCAGTGATTTAAACTTTTCAATGCTTTTTGCCTCAAAGGGCAGAAAACTACGGCGGCCAACATGAATGTCCCTATATAGAGCCAGTGATTGGTTTGTCCATACTGAGCTACTGTAGAAACATGGCAGGGCAACATGGCGATCTCCGTAGACGAGGACCTGCTCCCTGTGTAGATAAAAACAACTCATTCTAAGGTTACGAAAACACAATGAGTCTTATTTTCAGGTGATTATACCCTACAGAAAACATACTTATTATATTATATACCACTTCTGCCTGTATATTCCCCTAAATCCTACACTGGACCTCTAAGATGCGCCTAAAAAGTGAAGCTTCAAGGTCTTTTTCATTGTGCATCATGCACTGCAAACATGGTGCCAAGTAGTATTCCACGTTATAAGTACCAGTTGGTTTCCTGAGTTTTAGAATGAAAATTAAGCGGCTGTGTGCATTGTCTTTGATGGGTACTTGTGTACATGCACAATGCACAGTGGGAGGAAGCTCACTTGTACCCCTTAGCCCTCTAGAGGTTAATTCAGACTTGAAATACTTCATATCTGGAGCGGGGTTATCTTAGAGATGGTTGAGTTTGGGTGTAAGCTTACAAATGTTTTGAACATAGGTTAGAGGTGAGTGTATTTAAGTGTGTTCTGTGCATTTATGTTCATGATTGGAAAAGCGTCTGATATTTGCATTATAGATAAGGCAGCCACATTTTGCCTGGAGCTGTGTTTGAAATGATGCTCAACGTCTCTGTTTTACTACGGGGTTGTACATGTAAAGTCGCCCTCAACACTGTGTGCCAGTCGTCGGTGTAATCCCATGGCTTCTCGGAGTCTGTATGGAGCCATGCAGAGGTGCACTAAACTGTGCTCTGCTGTAAGTTTCATTATCACACACAACACCACATTTAGGACACTGTGCAGAATTATAAAGCCTGAAGTTACAGTGTTGTAATCAGTCTGCAAGTCGTGCAAAATAATTATCAGAGAAGACTACGTTATGGAGGAAGCACATAATCAATTACAAAGCCATAAGATAGGGTTCCAAGGTTCGGTACGTTCAAACTCTCACTTGAAACAGTAATCTGTAAGTCATCTGTTATGAATCAGTAAAAGATTTACAGAATGAAAGATAAAATTTCTCATCAAGTCCTCTGAGATAAAATGACACAATACTTCATTTGTCCGTGCCCTCTGGAAAGACTCAAAGAAGTGTCTTCTTATTTCAACCACCATTAGTCGGGAAAACAAAACCAAATCACTGGTATAAGAAAGATCCCTCCAAAACAATTTAACCACCATTAACAAGCATTATTATCCTGGTTAATTATTCATA